TCTTTTTGAGACAGGGTCCCCCTGTAGCCCCAGCTGTCCTGGAACTCACTATGTAGACCAGGCTGGCCTCGAACTCACAGAGATCCACCTGCCTCTGCCTCCTGAGTGCTGGGATTAAAGGCGTGTGCCACCATGCCCGGCTGACCTCTTTTCTTTTTTTTTTCTTTTTTTTCTTAATGTGTGTTTTGCCTGCATTTAAGTGCACTCATGCATGAAATGCCCCCAGTGACCAGAAGAGAGCATCAGACACCACACACCCACACCGAGAGAGAGAGAGAGAGAGAGAGAGAGAGAGAGAGAGAGAGAGAGAGAGAGAGAGAGAGAACAGGAATTACAGATGAGTGTTAGCTATCATGTAGGTGTTGGAAACTGGACCCAGGTCCTCTTCAAGAACAGCCAGTGTTCTTAACTGCTGAGCCATCTCCCCAGCCCCCAGAACTCAGCTCTTACTCTAAGACCTCATTATGAGTGCTGCTTAAGATCAGTGGCTTGAGAGTCTCCAGAAGGAATCCAGTACCAGTAGCAGCTTGCCCTGAATAAGAAAATGCCCCCAGCCCTGACACTGTACCCCACAATAGTGACAAGACCATGCTCACCAAGGCAGCCCTGGGAAGAAGCATCTTACCACTCTCGACAGAGGCCCGGAGGGCGGCCACGTTGTGATGGAAGGAGTCCTTCATGTCCACCAGCATGAAGGGGATGTTCAGTGTCTGCAGCTGGCTGGCAGCCGCAATCCCACCAAAGCCCCCACCAACAATCACCACGTGCAAAGCTCCTGTATCCACTGAGACCTGGGACCCCATCTCGAAACAGGCACTGCTGAGCTGGGAGAAGAAACCACATCAGATTAGGGGTGTTGAGAGGCAAGGGGACCTATGGCAAGAGGCACCTAACCTGAATGCCATGAACTGACTTTATTTATTTTATTTTTATTTTGTGTGTATGAGTGTTTTGCTGCATATATGTAAGTAAACTCCTGTTGTGCAATGGCCACAGAGGCCAGAAGATATTGGATTTCCCTGGAACCAGAGTTACACATGGTTGTTAGCCATCATATGGGTTCAGGGAACCAAACCCAGGTACTCTGTAAGAACAATCAATGTTCTTAATTGCTGAGGCATCTCTCCAGTCCCCTGCCATGAAACTTACTTTTTAAAAAAGAGGTTGTCTGGGGCTGGAGAGATGACTCAGCAGTTAAGAACACTGGTTGTTCTTGCAGAAGACCCAGGTTCAAATCCCAGCACCCACATGGCAGCTAACAACTGTCCGTAATTCCATTTCCAGGGGATCCGACAGCCTTTTCTGTCCTCCTCTGACTGCTGTTGCAGAGGACGTGGGTTCGACTCCCAGCACCCACAGGCAGCGACGAACTGTCCTTAACTACAGTTCTAAGGGAATCCGAAGCCCTCTTCTGACCTCCATGGCATTGCACGATACAGGTGCACTCACATACATGTAGGCAATACAACACATACACATAAAATAAAAATAATAAAATATTAAAAATAAATAAATAAAAAAGAGGCTAAAAAAGAGGTTTCTATTTTGTGTATGTGTTATGTGTACATGTATGTGCATGTGCATGTGTGTGTGTGTGTGTGTGTGTGTAGAGGGATCAGGTTGCTATCAGGAGTCTTTCTCAATTGCTCTCTACTTTATTTATAAGGCAGGGTCTCCCAATCAAACCCAGAGCTCACTAATTTGGATAGCCTGACTAGCCAGCTTTCTCCAGGGCTCCTGCCTCTGTCTTCCAAGCATGGACTTTAAGGAGGACTGCCATGCCCACTGGCATTTACCGGGAGCTGGGGATCCAAACTCCATCTTCACACTTGCAAAATTTAGCCACTAAGACATCTCCTGAACCCCAAGAGGTTGTCTTTAATTCATGAAATTCCAACTCTGTGGAAACTGAATTCATTCAGGTAGCTGTTGGGGAACCCTGCTGCTAGGGTTGTAGTCCTCCACAACGGGATAGCTCTAAGGGGCTCCATATGGAAGGACTCCCCTTCTCAGTAGGGGGCTTCCTGCTCTCTTCCTGACTTATCTGGAAAGTGCAGCCAAGCATGATGCCTGACCTTATTTGGAACATGACCTTTGGCATAGTTACCTGGAGTAAAAACTACCCCCAGGTTTTTTCTATATGATAATTAGGCATTGCCCAGTAGTCGGACCATAGGAGCCCACTGCCACATGTAAATAAAGCATACTATGAGCACCTATCAGCTGAGGCATTGAGCACCTATCAGCTGAAGCTTTGGCTGCTGCCTCCACACTATATTTTCCCTCACGCCCACTGAATAAACGGAGCTGTTTCACTGAGTCTGGAGCTGTTTGTATCATTGAACCTGCCTCCCTGGAAGGGATTTCTTCTGTCAGTGCTCACTGGCTGTCCTGACCCTGCTCGTCGCTTCTGCTCCCTTTGTCCTCGTGGAGCGGTGGCCAATGACCCACGAGGAGAGGGAGCGACCCCACAGGTAGCCTGCTCCCACCCCATCCCCAGTCACCCTGTTCCCTTCTCTGGAGGCGTCTGAACCCTTCCATGGCTATTCTATGCACCTATGGTCATGACTATTAAACCCTTTGCTTTTTCTCAATATATGTCATTAAGGACTTCTGAAGAGGGGGTTGTGTTCACCCCCTATGCTCTTCAACATGCTCCTCTGGGGATACTATGGTCAGACAGGCAGACATGGCCCTGCCTTTACAAAGGCAGAGTTTAGGGCCAGTGAGAAGTCTCAACAGGGAAAAGAGTTTGTTTCACAAGCTTGATGACCTGGACCTAAGTTCAAGCCCCAGAACCCACAGAGGGAAGACAGAACCAATTCCCAAAACTCATCCTCTGACCTCCACATATGCACTGTACACACACACACACACACACACACACTAGGAGATTCTGATATGATTCCAGGGTCAATGTTAGGGTGTGACAAGCATCCTGCAACACAGCATGTTATTATGGCTTGAATGTGTCCCCCAGAAAGGCACACACTAGAAACATAATCCCCAAAGTGTCTGAGGTGGTCCCCTCAGGAGGTGTTTGAGTCATGGAGTTCCACCTATGAATAGATTCGTGCTGAATATAAAAGTCTCTGTGGGGTTAGCAAGATGGCTCAGCTGATAAAGGTGCCTGCCACCAAGCCTGCTGACCTGAGTTCAATCCCCAGATTCCTCCGGTGGAAGGAGAGAACTCCTGCAAGTTGTCCTCTGACCTCCACTTGAACACCCTGGTGCACACAGGTACCCCCACACACTAAATAAATAAATAAATAAATAAATGGCGGGGGGGGGGAGCCCTCCCATACTTTCTTTTAATGTAATTTTTTTGGTTTTTTTGAGACAGGGTCTCCCTGTAGCCCCACCTGGCCTGGAACTCACCATGTAGACCAGGCTGACCTTGAACTCACAGAGATCTGCCTGCTTCTGCCTCCTAAGTGCTGGGATTAAAGGCATGTATCACCACACCCAGCCTATAAAATGTAATCAATTTTAAAATGAGGGGGCTGAGGCCTCAAGTCTGCCTGCCTGCCCTCCTTCTTGCCCTCTCTTCTGCCTCATCCATAGGAAGACAGCAGAAGGCCTCAGCAGAGATGGCCATCTTGACTTTGAACTTCGCGGACCTATAAGCCAGTAAGTTTCTGCTCATAAATTATCCAGTCTGTAACAGTCTGTAAAAACAGCACAAATGGACTAAATCACAAGTGACATGAACTGAGGTGGTGACAGTGGGCTAGGGGAAGAACTTAGAGGAGGTGCAGGTCCAGGGCAACATTCTTGGGACAACTAAGGGACAGGACCCAGGAGACCAAGAAATGGGGGCAGGGAAAAAAAAAGGCCTGCTGGGAGAAACCTTGGGGACTGTCTACAGTGAGAATAAAGGTTGGGGAGAAGTGCTGGCTACCAGACTCCAGGGAGAGAGGTGAGAGCAAGGCTCTGTGGGGGACAGGGGGACAGTGACTGAGGAGTGTGCCTACTGAGGGGGAAGCCCAGGCTCTCAGCTCATGGGCTGGAACAGCCTGCCCAGTTGCCAGCAAACTGACAGCAAACCTTGGTTGAGTTACAGGAGCTAAAATTTGAGATCCCTTGGCCCAGAGCCAGAAGCTGAGTCCATTTAAGGCAGGACAAAGTGGAGGGCTGCATCACTAAACACTGAACTGCTGGGAGGTTGTCAGACAGGGCTACTTCCAGTATCAGGGAGTCTACTCCTAGAGGGGAACTAAGAGGCTAGCCTGAGGTGGCGTAGCCCTTTACAGTGCTGGGGTTACACTTAAGCACTCTGTAGGCAAAGGCAAGTGGAGCTCTGTGATTTCAAGACCAGTCTGATCTAAATATTAAGTGCCAGACCAACCAGGGTTACATAGTGAAACACTATCTCAAAAAAAAAAAAACAAAATAAAACAGAGGCTAGCTAGGGGCTGTAGGTAGGAACTTATATCCAGCCCAATGAATTCCAGAGTTAAACACTAATGGCGTGGCCTGGAGACAGTCAGAGGTGAAGAAAGAGCCTCCCAGTCCAAGTGAGGGCCAGTTCACTGCAGCTGACCTCTGGACAGCTGAAGAGGGGTCGCTGGGGGTGCTGGCTCAGACCAAAGGCCTGGGACAAGCCACAGGAGGGTTAGTTGGGGAGATGCTATGGGAAGAAAAGTACAGAAAGCAGCCAGAGAGGCCCAGCCCCTCTGTGGGCTTCAGGAAGAATGTCAATAGTGATGTTTAGGAGACAGAGGGAGAAAGCAAACCAGGTAGGGTGACAAATGCCTATAATCCCTGCATGTGGGAAACAGAAGCAGGAGGAGAAGAAGTTCAAGGTTATCCTTGACTATAATGGCACCCAAGGTTGACCTCTGCCCTCACATGCATGTTCACACATGCACCTGGAAATACGAACACATACAAAAAAAAGTGGGGCCCTGAGGTCAGCCTTGAAGGACAGGTTCAAGTGACTGACCAGCTACATGAGGATGTGTTCCAGCACATCTGAACACATATGAGACTACCTCAGGCAGTTCTGTGGCACTGGAAGGCCACCCACTATCTTATTATCTGTGTGGCTAGAGGGAACCCCTCCCTTTTCTGGGCCTCAGTTTACCCTCTCTAATACAAAGAGGTAAAGGTCTAACAGCATTGACACCCAAGAGATATCCTGTAGACACTGTAACCCAGACATTGCTATCCCCATGACAGTCCCCAAGTCTTCCTATACTTACTCTTAGAACGTCAGGTGGTCTCAGAGGGAGGGGCAGATCTGGCACACAAGATTGGAGGGGATTTAAAGTTATTTCCCATTGGTCAATGGTCTCCAGTACATTGAGACTTGAGCATCCAACCAGTCTGACAGATGAGAAAACAGATGAGGTGGGAACCAGGACAAGTCCCCCAGGAAGGCGGTACTCCCTTTACTCCTCTAACCCCTTACAGGGGTTGAATTTGCCAACTGAATGGAAGGAGAATGTCCCCCAGAGAGCCTGAGTCCAAGAGGAGCCAAGTGCCCAGCCAGACGCAGAAGTGGACACCAGTAGCTGGGAACATGAGGAGGGTCTGAAGCAGGCTAGGGTAGGGTGTATTCCATTTGCCCCCTTCTGTGTGGACCCTCTGTGTCCAGCCCTGCCCTCGAGACTGGCAGTCAGTGACAAGGTCAAGAAAACATTCACAAAGTTCCACTGCCAAGGCTGGGAGTGTGGCTCAGTGGTACAGTACTCCCCTAGTGTGTGAAAACCCTTGGATTCAATCCTTACCACTGGTGGGAAGGAAAAAAGTCTCATCTGTACAGAAAGCTTCACATCCAAAGTGGCCAGGCAGGACACAAGAAAGGCCACACAGCTTACAGGAGACAAAGGTCCTCAGTGAGTCAAATCCTAGTGGACCACTCACAGAGGCTAGAAGAGGACGTCTTGAACCAGAAGGCGCTAGAGTCAGAAGTCTTTGAGACAGAGGCCTGCTAGCAGGAAAGGAGTGGGTTGGAATCCAAGGCGCATGCATCAGAAGGGTGGGGAAAGCAGGTAGGTGACAGGCCAGTATAGACGTCACTAAACACCCATCACGCCAAGTAGGCCAACACAACTGCCCTGGTCCCTTCTGGGGACTCCTTTCCTGGGAGGAGAGAACACCAGTGTCCAGTGAGTTAGCCAAAGGAAGGATTTAAACTCCAGATGCCTCAGCCCTCACAGGGTCATCCACCTGCTTCCCCTCAAGTTTGTCCCCAATGAAGCCAAACTGCTCAAGGGCCTCAGGGCAGTGCCAAGAAAATGGAGGCCTTTTCTCTCATGCCCTGCTGCGGAATCTGTCATTCCCTCTCCTCTACTGACCTCTGCCACCCTTACTTGGATGACGTGAGGCCAGCAACTCTCTAGAACATTCCAGTTCCTTACCCAGTACTTAGGACATACTAACCGTCCTTGGCTCCTCTCTGTCCATTCTTGCCTGGCCCCTGAGGGCAGCAGACTCCCCACTGCTTGGAGCCATGACCTACTTTGCCAGTCACCTAAAATCAAGGGTTTAGGTCAACTCTCAACTGCATACCCTGTATGTGCTGAAATAAATGGATGTTTACTTGGTGTTCTAACACAGCAACAGGGCCGGACCAACCGCAATCACTGGAATACTTCATTAATCCACAGAAATGGGCTGGAGAGATGGCTCAGCAGTTAAGAGCACTGGCTGCTCTTGCAGAGGATGCGGGTTTGAGTCCCAGCACCCACATGGTGGCTAACAAACATCCATAACTCCAGTTCCGGGGGAACCCAACATTCTCTTCTGACTTCTTGAGCATTGCATGACACGGGTGCACTTACGCATATGTAGACAATACACTCAGATATATATATAAAAAATGTTATTGGTCTTTTTGAAACAGGGTCTCTCCATAGCCCCAGCTGTCCTGGAACTCACTATGTAGACCAGACTGGCCTTGAACTCACAGAGATCCGCCTGCCTCTGCCTCCCTAGTGCTGGGATTAAAGGCGTGCGCCACCAGGCCTGGCCAGATATATAAATTTTTTAAAAAATAAATATTTTTAAAAAAATCCACAGAAATTTCCCACTAGTAGGAGATTCCAGGATAAACTAACACACACACACACACACACACACACACACACAGTGGGATAGTCCATGGCTATTCATTTTTAAAGGGTGAGTGACATTTGTCCATGAAAAGTTTGTCCATAAAAGACTCAGGCAATAGAATCTTTGTCTGCAGACCCTTACCACATTTATAAACAGTAAGACACACCACCTCAGTTCATGCACTCATTCATGTGTGATTACTACAACAGCTGTTGATGTCTTTTTCCTACAGTTTTGCATAGGTGTGGGGTTTGCACCCTATTTTGGAAAAAGGTTCAGCCTCTTGCCCATGCTCAATACTTATGAGACCAGATACTCCCCTGAACCGAGATGCTGATATCGAACTAAGAGGGTTTTTTAAAAATTTTCTTGGCTTTTTGCATTGTTTGAATTACTTTTTAAACAAGCATGTATAATTTTTTTTAAAAAAATAATTAAGCCTTGGGGATAGATGACTCAGAGGTTAAAAGCACTTGCTACTCTTGTAGAGAGCCCAGGTTTGGCTCCCAGCACCCACGTGGCAGCTCACAACCGTCCGGCCTTGTTTGTTTTTTAAAGTTTTTTAAAATTTCATTTCATGTGTATGGGTACTTACCTGCTTGTATGTGCACCATGTGAGGCATCTTCTTGATTACTGTGTGATGCGGGAGGGCCCAGTGCATTGTGGGTGATGTCACCCCTGGGCAGGTGGGCCTGTGTTGTATAAGAAAGTAGACTAAGCAGGGGCCAGGGGAGCAAGCCAGCAAGCGGTGTTCCTCCATGGCCTGTGCTCCAGCTCCTGCTTCCAGGTTCCTGCCCTGAGTTCCTACCTTGGGCTCCCTGATGAACTGCGACCTGGGAGATGTAAGCTGAATAAACCCTTTCCTCCCCAAGTTGGTAGTGGTCAGAGTATTTTGTCACAGCCATGAAGAAACAAACTAAGACACAGAGACAGGTGGATCTCCATGAATTCGAAGCCAGCCTGGTACATAGTGAGTTCCAGCATCAGGGAAACCCTGTCTCAAAAAGCAAACAAATAAAAACAACAAAAACCCACCACACTCTTTATCCTCATTGGTTGATGAGCATTTTACTTGTTTCTACTTCTTAGCTAAGGTGAACCATGCCAACATGGATGGGCATTCATGAATTAGATTTTATGTGGACATGTTTCCAATGTTAGTTTATAGCTCAGTGCAGGACTGCTGAGTCATGTGGTCATTCCAACTTTCTGAGGCACACCCAGGGAGGAAGCACAGAAAACCAAAGCTAAAGCTACAGGATTCAAGAATATTAGCTTAAAAGAAGACTCAAATTCTGAGGATATAGTTCAGTTGGTAGAGTTTGGCTAGTATGCAAAGCCCTGGGTTCAATACACAGCACCATATAAATCAGATAGCACATACCTGTAATCCCAGCACTCAAGAGGGAAAGATGGGAGGATAAGTAGTTCAAGGCCAGCTTTGGGTACATAGTAAGTCTGTGTCTGCTGGGAACTGTATGAGATCCTGTACTCCCCTGCCTCCAAAAAACCCAAATGTTCCAGCAATTCCTAAGTAATTTTACTTTTGTCTCCCCTCCCCCAACACACACACACACACACACACACACACACACAGAGATGTGGTTTACACTTGAACTTGCTCATCAACCCTGTTTTCTCTGCCAAGAGGCTTTCCTTTAAGGGTAATAAATTTCAGGAACCCACTGAAACCCAAAGAAGCCACATTTCGATCAGAGCTGTAGAGGGATCGAGTCCCAAACAACACACTGCAGGAACCTTGTGGACCCAGATCAAAGTGAGACCATCACCCTGTCTTGGTCCATAACAATCACAAACACACACGCATGCAGCACTTTGAATCACTGAGGCTTATGCAGTAGGAAGATTTCAACACTGGCCCCACTGGGTAGCCATGTGCCCAGGGTGGCCCAGTGAGGCAGGAGAAGGCCACTGACGTTGACTCAATGGGCTATGACTGTGTCCTCTTCCAACAGGAGAAAGGTGATGGCTCCCCACTTTGGACACCGGGGACCAGGCTGAGAGTGGACACTACCAGCCTCTAGGGAACACACCCCAAATGTACTCTTGAAAAGCACCAAGTGCTGAAAGGGACTGGAAGAAGGAAGAGTAGGGCAGGCAGGCTTACAGGGCATCATTATAGGCACTCCTGTACTCAAACCCTAGGACAAGTATCCTGTTCTCTGTCAGCATGTGCACCTCCAGTCACCACCAGACAAGACCACCTGGCCCAACTCCATCACTTATGGGCAAACAGTCCTGGGCAAGGCCTGGCAGTGGCTGGAGCTCAGTGTCCTCTTGATGAAAGGCTGGTCATCTGGGTGAGTCCTGGCATGCAGCACCCACGGCAAACTCCTTTTAGTGAGGAGGAGTTGCTGAGCACTCGCTGTGTGCTGGTGGCAGACACAGGCTTATGCTGGAAGCTGATGCTGGGTACTGAGTCGGGAGACCTGGAAGTCCCTTCCCAAGCTGTCCCTCCATGCCCTGAGCATATCCTCCCGCAGGTCTCTCAGCTCCTAAATCAGCTGAGTTCTCCTCACCCTCCTCTTAAATCCCAGGGTCAAAGAGACTCTTACGGGGTGGGGTTGGGGGAACGTGTTATGTATGTGGCCTTCGAAGGAACACGGTGCCAGCAGTTATAAGTTCAGCCGTGGCTGGTCTTTGTCCAGCAGTACCACCGGCTTAGCAATGGGGGCTGGGGAACCGTGAAGAGGACCTCCTGTGCACCCCGAATCTATGGGCACTGGGGAGACTCCACTCACTTTCCTGAGCGGCTCAGGCACCGGCCTCTGTCAGCCCGACTCCCTCCCCGGATCCGCCCACGCGTGCCCTGCTCTCCGCATGATTCCGATTTCCCCGACAGGGAATTAGCGGACCGGGGGGGTTGGGGGGGGGGGGGGGATGCCGAGGCCGACGGTCCTGCAGGCCCCCTCTGAGTATCCTAGGCAACGGCCCCCCTTCCAAAGCCGCGAGTCCGCGCCGGGCCCTCCCCACGCGGTGCACCGCGGCCTGCAGGCCCCGTTGGGTGCGTTCCCGTCCCGTGAGCCCCACCCCCGACCCGCCGAGACCCCAGCGGAACCTCACCTGCCACCTCCCGCCGCGTCCGCTCTGCTCCCGGCAGCTCGTCTTCCGGCGCCCGCTGCCCAGGCCCTGAGGACAGGACAGGGCGGGCCCAGCTCTGTTCCCCGCCCCGCGGCGACGCCCCCACCAGTCCCGCCCCCGAGAGCTCGGCCCAGGACCTGACCTTGACCAGGAGCGACCTCGCCCGCTCGCCTGCGCCCCAGGCTGTTAGACACCTGTAGCTCCTGCCTGCCCCACTTCACACAGGTGCTGTATGCCCGGCACTAGGGGGGTTAAAATGGGAAGCCAAACAGACTTGGTTTATACTTTGGTGGAGAAAGATAAGAGATAAACACAACACTGAGGGGCTGAGATGTAGCTCAGTTGGCCAACTGCTTAGCATGCATGAAGGCTTGGGTTCATCCCCAGCACCACATAAATGGGGCATGATGGGGCAGGCCCGTAATTCCAGTACTTGAGAGAAGTAGGCAGAAGGATTAGAAATTCAAGATTATCCTAAACTTCTACAGGCAGTTTGAGGCCAGTCTGGTCAGGGGATCTCTTCTGTCTTCTGCAGGCACTGAAGTACACGGGTACACTTACATACATGCAGGCATAACACTCATACACGTCAAAATAATTAATTCATTAATTATAAATATTTTTAAAGGCTGGAGAGATGGCTCAGAGGTTAAAAGTGCTTGCTGCTCTCTTCCAAAGGACCTGAGTTCAATTCAGCACCCACATTGGGAGGCTCACAACTACCTGTGATTCCAACTCCAGGAGATCCTATACCTCTGGCCTCTGCATGCACCTACACTCACATGCACAGACACACATATATGCATGATTAAAAATAAAACTACTCAGGGCTGGAGAGATGGCTCAGTGGTTGCAGAAGACCCAGGTCCAGTTCCCAGTACCCACATGGCAGCTACCAACAGTCCTTAATTCCAGTTCCAGGGGCTCCAACACCCTCTTCTGGCCTCCAAGGGCACTTTATGCACATGGTGCACTTACATACATGTAAGCAAAACACTTATACACATAAAATAAAAATAAATAATTTTTAAAAATATTCTAAAAAATTAAAATAAATTTTAAAAAAGCATCACCAAGGGGCTGGAGAGATGGCTCAGCCTCTTTAAGAGGACCCAGGTTTGAGTCCCAGCATCCACATGGTGGCTAACAACTGTCCGAAACTCCAGTTCCAAGGGACCCGATACCTTCTTCTGACCTCCATGGGCATTGCACTTACCTACATGCAGGCAATACACTCATACACATAAAATAAAAATAATAAATAAAAGTTTTATTTTTTAAAGCATCACCAAGAACATCTCTATCATACTCTCCTGGAATAAGAAGAGTCAGCTCCAGGCAGAGGGAAGTGTGCAAGTATATGAAGCCCCAGAGGTAGGACAAAGATCTGAAAGCCAGAGCACTCTAAGTTACAAATCTCTAGCAGTAGGATCAAGGTAAAAGGAAAAGATACACCATCTGTCTCAATGCAAATTATCATCAGCTACCCTAAGAGTGGTGCGAAAGACTCCAAGATCTCTTACTAGCACAGCATTGTAGCTCACGTCTGTACTCACAGCCACTGGGGAGGCTGAGACAAAGCCAAGACCAGCCTGGGTTACATAGGAGTTCCAGGCCAAACTAGGCTACAGAGTAAAACCCTGTCCACAATATATATAATCAAGAGAGAATGGGCTGGAGAGATGGCTCAGCAGTTAAGAGCACTCAGTGATGTTGCAGAGGTCCCAGGTTTGGTTTCCAGCACCTACATGGTGGTCTGTAACTCCAGTTCCAGGGAATCCAACACCTTCTTCTGGCCTCTGTGAACACTGCACACACCTGGTACATTTACATTCAGGAAAACCACTCATACACTTAAATATAAATTTACCAGATGTGGTGGCACACCTTTAATCCCAGCACTTAGGAGGCAGAGGCAGGCAGATTTCTGAGATCAAGGCCAGCCTGGTCTACATAGTGAGTTCAAAGCCAACTGGGGCTGTAGGGAGACCCTGTCTCAAAAAGACAATAAATAAGTAGATAGATAGATAGATAGATAGATAGATAGATAGATAGATAGATAGATAGAGATAATTTTTTTAAATACAGAGAGAAATCATTCCTATGAAGCTGTAGGAGACCCTGTCTCAAAAAGACAATATAGATGATAGATAGATGATCTAGATAGATGATAGATAGATAGATAGATAGATAGATAGATAGATAGATAGATAGATATTTTTTTAAATACAGAGAGAAATCATTCCTATGAAGCATTTCAACCTTGTGCCTGGCACCCAGCTACTTGTAATGTTACAGACTATAGAGATTTTATATTAGCTTGCCCAGGGTATTGTATTCTCTCTCTCTCCCTCTCTCTTTCCCTCTTTGTGTGTGTGTGTGTGTGTGTGTTAAAAACAGGGTCTCGAGTGAGGGACCATGTCCGCTGTGGTCGCTGTGCGCGGTGCAGGGAGGAAGAAGTTGGGAATGGTTGCTGTCTACCTCACAGCACCACGGGGTTTCCGTGGTGTTGAGGAGAAGAGTTTGTTCACAGTATAAACAAGTAACCAGCAATGAGGACCTGCCCATTGCAATGGAAAACCCTTATAGTCTCTTAAGAAATGTATCTTGTATGAGAAACATGTAGATTATAAGAATGTACAGCTTTTGTCCCAGTTTATTTCTCCATTCACTGGATGCATTTATGGAAGGCACATAACAGGTCTTTGTGGGGAAAAAAAAACAGAAAGAAATAGCAAAAGCAATTAAGAGAGCCCAGATAATGGGATTTATGCCAGTTACATACAAGGATCCTGCATATCTCAAAGACCCCAAAGTTTGTAACATCAGATATTGAGAGTAAATTTTTTAAGGTTACTGCCAGTAAATTTGTAAGTGGTTGTATGTCAGTACTAAGTTGAGTAGAAAACATTTCAGCAGGTAGGAGAGGTGGTATGGTGCTTCCTCTCCATACCAGTGAGTATTCTGTGGACAAACTGCTTAAAATGCTAATGCTAATTACATCGTACATATTTTGAATAAAAGTATTTATGGTCATCAAAAATAAAAATAAAAACAAAAACAGGGTCTACCTATGTAGCCCAGACTGGCCTCAAACTCCCAAATGCTGACATTATAGACATGAGCCACCAGACCTGAACCCACAATATTCTTTTGAATATTGCCTTTTACCTTCCAAATTTTCATGAATATTCACATCAAGGTAGCCATTTCTATGCCTTTTCTAAAAGCTGTGGTCAAAGAACTTTGTATCCAATGCTCTTGATGTGAGGCCTATTGTGACCAGTCTCACCTTACAAGACTGTGCTGTCTGGACTCATCTCAGCTGGTAGGGAACTTGGCATCCTCCTGAAAACACCTTGTTCCCATCAGTCCATAGACCCTGGCTCCAGTTTTCTAGACTCTCCATCTCTCCTCCTTTACCAGTACAACACTCCCTGTACATGTGGGTAAAGAATTATAGTCAGAGGGGTGGGTGTCCCTGCTGCTTCTCTAAGCCCCTGGGGCCTCTAAAGAGAAACCAGTGCAAAACTGAGGGTTCAGAGAGCCCTTGAATCCTGCCTTACAGGGAACCACAGGGAAACTAGGGGCTGTGTGGTCAGTCGGGTGCAACAAGCCCTGAGGGATAGTTAACACTGTCAACAGGACTGGATTAATACCACCTAGGAAGGTCTGGTGTGGTGGTACACATGCTAATTCCAACACAAGAGGTGGAAGCAGAATCAGTTTAAGATCATCTTAAAATACATAGCGAGTTGGAGGTCAGCCTGGGCTACATAAGACCTTGACTGGAAAAAAAAAAAAAAAGAAATACCCACAAGTGTGTCAAACCCATGGCCTGTAGGATAGAAGTGAATGGGACCCAAACACAGAATCAGTCATAAACTATTTAAAATATTATGACTTTTTTTGCAATTTTTGGGGGGTGTGTAATTATTGAATGTGAACTTTGTAAATGAGAATGTCATGTCACTGTATCAGAAGGTTGGCTACCTCCGATAGGGGATTAATGAACCACACTTTAGGGTATGTCTATCTCTGATAATGGCTTCAGAGACAGTTCCTGAGGCTTTGACCTGATCCATGGCAAAATCCTTTGGTAGATTCATAATTTGATGGTGTTATTGGGAGGTGGTGCAAGATAGGGAGTAAGGCCTTGTTACAGGAAGTACTGGGACATAACCACAGGAGTTATCTGCCTGCCCTGGCCTCCTCCCATATCACTTTCTCTGCTTCCTGTCTACCAAGAAGTGAGGAACCTCCTCCACCACAGGCTCCTGCCACCATGGTGTTCTGCCCAGGCACATGAGACCAAGGAACTAAGGACCAAACCCTCTGAAACCATGAGCCAAAATCAATCCTTCCTTAAATTGTTTGAGTCAGGTATTTTGGTCACAGTAACAAAAGGCTAACACATCCTGTGTCTGTCCTGGGCTTTGCAAACTTCCAAATAGTTTGTATTTCCTTTTCTTCTCCTAAAACTGAGAGGAAAAAAGGGCAGGTATTTCACTCTGACAGGACTAGAACAAGGACACCTTAGACCAGTTCTTTGTACTGCGTGTTATTTTTCTAGTTGCTATGATAAAAGACCTGACAAAAGCAATAACAGTTTCCTCTGGTTTACAGATTGAAGGGACAGAACGTTATGGCAGGGAAGGTATGGTGACAGGCAGGTCCGTGGTGGCAGGAGTGTGCAGCTGACACTACTCACCTCCTGACACCTCAGAAGTCAGGAAGCAGAGAATGCTGGTGAATCTGAATGCTGGTGCTCACCTGGCTTTCTCCTTTGTATTCAGTCTGGGACCTCAGTCCATGGGATGCTGCTGCTCACGTTTAGGGGGAGTCTTCTCACCTCAGTTAAATTTTTCTGGAAACATCCTCACAAATATAACCATAAGTTTGTCTCCTATGTGATTCTGAATCCCATCAAATTGACAATGAAGATGAACCATCACAAGTGTAGAGGTCACTTTGCTGGACTGTCGGCTTTCAGTGTCTGGCACTGACCCAGCATCTAGTTCCCTAAGAATCTGCTGTTTGCCAAATTAATATTTTAAAGTTAAGATATGGGACTGGGGATATAACTCAATTGATAGAGTACTTGCCTAGAATGCATAAAGCCATGTCAATCCCCAGCACCATACAAACAAGTCATAGCAGTGCATGCCTGTAATCCCAGCACTCAGGAAGATGGAAACCAGAGGATCAGAAGTTCAAGATTATTCTTGGCTATATATTGAATTGGAGGCCAGCCTCAGCTACATGAGATCCCTGTCTCCAGAAAAAATTAACAAATAATTTATGAGCCAAGATCCAGGCCAGCTGGGGCTCCAGGTCTTACAAGGTCAGTTTTAATAATCTGCACTTTGCAGATGGAGACACTGGGGCCCCACAGGCTAAGGAAGTTAGGCAATGACAGTAAAGCAGAGGAGCTGAGCCTTGAATGAGTCAGAACTATGACCTTAAAGCTAAGAAGTTCCTCAGCAGGAAAGGAACCTTCCCTGGCAAAACCACTGAGCAGGCAGAGTCTCAACTATGGCATCAAGAAAGTAAGAGAAATTTACTGGGCACATGCCCAGTACCATAGAACAGAGAGACCAATGGAAATACTTCAGCCTACTCAGGCCAGGAAGGTCCTGGAGCTTGGGAAAGTCCAGGAAGGTTTCTTGGAGGAACTGAGCCTAGGCATGGATAGAAGATTCCCAATGGCAGGATGCAAGGGAAGAATTCCAAAAGGATAGGAAAGGGAAGAGAGGGCCCAACACTTGGCTCGAGCACCAGTTATTGTTTAAAGTAATGTGTTTGGGTGTCAGGTTGACCAGGGGTGGATTTGTAATGTACTCTTTACTGTCAACCTGATTGGACATATAAACACCCTGATTAGCGAAATATGCCTGGCTGTGTCTGTGACCATGTCTCCAGAGAGATTCAGGTACATCTAGCCTTTAGACATTGCAGCACCATGTTATCATCTTGAAAGTTCACACTTGAGACCGTGCAATCAGGCTACAAAAAAGGGGGAGGGGGTTTGCTGGAGAGATGGCTCAGAGATTAAGAACACTAGCTGTTCTTCCAGAGGACCTGGGTTTGATTTCCAGCACCCATGGGGCAACTAACAACCATCTGTAACTCTAGTTCTAGGGGAATTGGACACCTCTTCTGACCTCCTCAGAAATTACACAACATAGGTATTTTTACACATAAAAAATAATCCAGGCGTGGTGGTGAATGCCTTTAATCCCAGCACTTGGGAGGCAAAGGCAGGTGGATCTCTGTGAGTTCAAGGCCAGCCTGGTCTACACAGTGACTTCCAGGCCAGCTGGGGCTACAGTGATACCCTGACTCAAAAAGACCAAAAAAAATTAAAATATCCTTAATGGAAGCTGGAAAGATGGCACAATAGGCAAAGTGCCAAGAAGATACCTAGCACCCACATAAAAAACTGGGAGTTATGGCATGCCTTCAATCCCAGTACTGGGGGATCAGAGACAGCCAGCTGTTCTAGCCAAGCCAGTGAGCTCTGGGTTCAGTGAAACCGTATCTCAAGATATACGGTGGGGGCTGGAGAGATGGTTCAGTGGTTAAAAGCACTGGCTGCTCTTGCAGAGGACCTGGGTTTGGTTCCCAGCACCTACATGGCAGCTAACAGCTATCTGTAAATCCAGTTCCAGGAGATCCAATGCCTTCTTCTGGCCTCTATGGGCATTGCATGCATGTGGCACAGGTAAAACACTTATACACATCCCCCAAACTGCAAGCTGACTTTCCCGGTAACTCATTAGGGTTTTGATGTAATGAAATGCCCACCAGCCTCTGAATTCATACTGTGAAGGCACCATGGGAGGTGGTATGAAGTAGGAGGAGGGATCCAGCTAGAGAAAGAGGTCACTGGGGGCATTCCCAGGTCCATGTCCCACCCTGGCTCCTTTCTCTGCTGTCTGGATGCTGTGGTGTGAACTGCTCTGCTCCACTTGTCCTTCCCTCCATGGAGTAACATACCTAAAATTGAGCCAAGATAAATCTCCTCTCCCTTTACATTGTTTTTGCCAGGTACTGTCACTGCAATGAGAAAACTGATATTTAATTATATCCTATCAGGGTTGTTTTGGCCCATCTCTAAGGATCTATCTCAAATCATGAAAGTCAAGGTAGTTTTTTTTCTAAAAATTTATGCTGAGCATGGTGGTGCACACCTTGAATCCCAGTGTTCAGGAGGCAGAGGCAACTCACAACCACCTGTAATTCTGACTCAGGAGGATCTGATGCTTCTATTCTCCACAAACACCCACACTCAGGTGCACATACTCACACACACACACAATCAAAAACAATAGCCAGGCATGGTGGTGCATGCCTTTAATCCCAGCACTCAGGAGGCAGAGGCATGGAGATCTATGAGGCTGGGGCCAGCTTGCTTTATATTAGGCCAGCTGGCCAGTCTGGTCTACATAGTGAGTTCCAGGACAGCTGGGGCTACAGGGAGACCCTGTCTTAAAAAGACCAAAAAAAAAAAGGAAAAAAGAAAAAGGATCAAACGCCCTCTTCTGTCCTCTTCAGGCACTGCACGACATGGATGCACTTACACACATGCAGGCAATACACTCATGCACATAAAATAAAAATAAATAAATCAAGAAAATTAAAAAGAAAATAGCCAGGCATGGTGGTGCATGCCTTTAATCCCAGCACTCAGGAGGCAGAGGCATGGAGATCTATGAGGCTGGGGCCAGCTTGCTTTATATTAGGCCAGCTGGGGCTATAGGGTGGTGCTGTCTCAAAAACAAGCAACTAGAGAGATGGCTCTGTAGTTAAGAGCACCGGCTGCTCTTGCAGAGGACTTCCAGCACCTACATGGTAGCTAACAACTGTCTGTAACTCTAGTTCCAGGAATCCAACACCCTCTTCTGGCCTCCATGGGCATTGCATGCATCTGGTACACTTACATAAATGCAGGCAAAACACTCATACATGTAAAATAAAAACTTTTAATTAAAAAAATTTATTATGCTGGCAAGATACACTCCTCTCTGCCCACCCAGCAGTACCCAGACCTTTGCAAATGGAAACCAGGGCTCACAACCACCTGACAAGAACCTTTGTCTTTGAACTTCTGAGTGTCTAAAGTGGTAGGAAGGCTTGGTGGTTGGGCTGCAGAAACTGGCAGCTCCATTATACAGTTGTGTGGTTTTCTGTTTTTGGCTTTGTGAACAGAATCTCATGTAGCCCATGCTGGCCTTGAACTTCCTATGTAGCCAAGGATGACCTTGAATTTCTGGTCCTCCTGCCTCCATCTCCCAAGTGTTGAGATTACAGGCATGTACCATCATGCTCAATGCTGGGATCAAACCCAGAGCTTTATTAGGGGAGCATTCTAACTGAGCTACATCCACTGCCCTCACATTTTTTTGGGTTGCTTTGGTCCTTGCTGGGGATCCAAACCCAGGGCCTTACTAAGTAAGTGCCCCGCCACTGGGCTACCCACTCAGCCCTCCACATTCCCATTGGACCACCTACTCCCACACCTAGGGTCCACTGTAAGCTTCTGCACTTCTAAAGCATTCCACACAAAGTTGCTGCCAGGCCAAACCTGTACTTTCCAGGACCCACATGTCCCAGGCAGCATGGACTAGTTATAGTTAGTACAGCTGTGGGCTGGGCTGGCAAACAAGCACGGTGAGCTGAAACCTATTGGGAAACAACGCAGACAAGCCAATTCTTGGCCAGATACTTGCCCCAGTCCCCATTGTGTGCTTAAGAAGAGCTTCTGAAATATAAAGTATTATTCCCGGCTCCAACCACATGCTCTACCCCCAAGACTCCAGTATCCCAGGCCACGGGCTGGAAAATGAAGGCACATTGTCAAGAGTGAAGGCCCAGTGTCTTGGCTTGTTGGAGACTTGCCTGCATGTATGTGGCAACAGGAACATTCCTGTTACTGTCTGCTGGGATTGTGGATTTCCAAGAAAACTTCACTACCAGTAAATTGTGGAGTAGCAGGCAAGAGCCTGGCTGAAAGGCAGTGGCCACTCAAGGAGACCAAGTGCTGTCAGAGAGAGAGAGACACCAAACCAAGCTTGGGCCTGCCTTCTACCAGCTTCTGTCCATTGGACTGGAATTATCAGAAAGGACAATGGCACTGCTGGACCTAGCACTGGGAGCAATGAGATAGGCTCAAGAAGGCACCCCAAGTGGGTCAGGGACCCATGGGGCTGCGCAGAAGTCTGTTCTTGGACAGTCCATGGGTGGAGATAGGGAAGCGGCTTGGGTTGTGACAAAGCAGGTTGACTGAACCTGGATGCAAGGACTGCCACCACCTCCCTCACCACCTCTTCTTGAGGCCCTGAACTAGTCTATCTTCTAGAAGAGTCACAGTCTCAGAGCTTGCTCTGTGGGGCATTAGGCAGGGGCCGCTGCAGCCGCCACACCACCTTGACAGGCTCAGTGGCACGGTCCAGCTCTTGGAGGCCACACAGGTCACCAGTCTGACTGTACTGCTGCAGGGCCGGCTGGAGCACCGTGACGGGAATGCTGAAGTTCAGGTGTGGGTAGGTAGCCCCGGTGCTGTTGTCCCGGGTGTTGCTGGCGACAATGCCTGTTAGGGAATCAGAACAACGAACATGTAAGGCACCATACAGGGGATGGATGGTGCAGGTAGAACTATCTTTGTACTGGAGCCAGTCCCTCAATTTTCCCTCCTCTTTTAAAAGATTTTATTTTTGTGTACGAGTGTATTGCCTGCATGGATATAAGTACACCACATGTGTGTGCTGCCCACAGAGGCCAAAAGAAAGCATTGGATCCTATGGAACTGGAGTTACAGATGGTTCTTAGCCACCATGTAGATGCTGGGAACTGAACCTAGATCCTATGCAAGAGTGGCCAGTGTTCCTAATCCCTGAGCGATCAGTCCAACCCCTCCGTTATCTTTTATGACCTCTATACTTTGAATGATGCAGGGTCGTTATCTTATATGGCTTTACCTGATTTCTTGTGATTAGACTGAATTCTGCATTACTAAGAATCTCACAGAAGCCCTGTGTTCTTCCCAGTATGTCATGCATCAGGAGGTATCTGTATGTAGTATGTTTTCTTCTTGTGCTGGGAATGGAAGCCAGTGCCTCATACATGCTAGCCAAGGGCTTCTCCCACTGAGCCACTCCAGCCCCTAGGACTTGTGATAGTAATCTTGGTTAGCTAAACTTACCCACCAGGCCTCTTAACCACAGGCTTAGGACTTCCCTCTCTGTAAGCACTAAATGTTTCAGGGAGATATTCTGAAATTATGCAAATACTATTTTGACTTAAACTTTTGCACAGATTTAACCACCCATCTATTTAAATCTATTGTTGGTACTATTGCAGTGGTTTTTCTTTTTGTTTCTACCTTATAAAATATTTTATTATAAGGGCCAAGCACGGTGGCGCACACCTTTAATCCCAGCACTTGGGAGGCAGAGGCAGGTGGATCTCTGTGAGTTCAAGGCCAGCCTGGTCTACATAGTGAGTTCCAGGACAGCTGGGGCTACAGGGAGACCCTGTCTCAAAAAGAGCAAAAAAATAAAAATAAAAATTTATTATGTGTATGAGTATATTGCCTGCATGTATGGTGCCACCACGCCCAGCTTGTGTCTATATTTATGTGCATGAGCATTTTTGTCTACATGTTTGTGCACAACATGTGTGCCTGGTGCCTTCAGAGGCCAGATCAGGAGTTAAGAATAATCGTGATGCCATTTGGGTGTTGGGAACCAAACTTGGATCCTCTGGAAGAACAGCAAGTGTTCTTAACCACTTAACCCACTACACTGGGTGCATACTGCAGTATCTTAATGATTTTTCTCCTTTATTTCTTCTATATTTACTAATTACAGTTCTGCCAGGAACTCTCACTTGTTTCCGTGTATGAACTTTCTCAGTCATTTGTAGCAGTGTAGACTCAAAGATGCCAGTTCTTGTGTGTGGGCTCCTGTGAGTGCAGAGGCCAGAGGCCAATGTTGGGCCTGGCCCTTCCTCCCTCGCTATTTTTCTTGTTTTGGAGACAGGATCTCAAAACTAGCTATGTAGACCAGGCTGACCTCAAACCCACAGAAATTTACCTGCTCTGCCTCCCAAGTGTGGTATTAAAGGTGAGCCCACCATGCCAGGCTTTCCCCTTAGTCTTGGAAACTATTTCTGACTAAATCTGCAACTCACAAATTCAACTAGAAGGGCTGGCAAGCAAGTCCCTGGAATCCTGCTATCTCAACCTTCCAGCACTGAAACTACAGGCATGTACTGGTTTGCCTGGCTTTCTTTTCATGGGGACTAAGGATCCAAACTCGTTCTCATGCTTGCACAGCAAGCACATTACCCACCAAGCATCTCTCCAGAAGAGATAAGGCACTCTTTGGGTTATAATCCCACACTGTTGCTACGTCTTTCTAAACTCTCTTGTCTATTTATAGCTGTGTATTCACAGATATTCATTCTTTTCTTTGGGTCATAATCACGCAGTATTGTTACCTCTCTGTTTCTTGACTTTGTTCTAACAGGAGCTCTTCTGTGCTGACTTCATGCCATGCACCCATCATTTATGCAGTTAGGCCTCCTTTCTGAGATAAGAGGCTTCTGATTCACCTAGGATTCTCCCTATCCCAGCCCTAGTCAACCATGCTTGGTTCCTTTTAGTAGAGAAAGGTGTTTAGAGGCCATAGTCTGGGCCCTAGACATGCTCACTGAAGTCAGGTTTCACTGCTTTGAGTCCTTTTGATGGGCAGAGCTAAGAGAGGCTAGGGTATATGTCTGTATAGTGATTTATGTATACACATTTATATTTATTTCTGTATCCACTTATCTGTATGTATGGATTTGGGGGGTTGTGCTGGGAACAAAGCATGTACCACCATGCTCAGTATTTTTGGAAGGGTGTAGTTTTAAGATTTATTTTATTCTTAGTCGGGCGTGGTAGTACACGCCTTTTCCAGAACTCAAAGAGGCAAAGGCAGGCAGATCTCTGTAAGTTCGAGGCCAGCCTGGTCTACATAGTGAGTTCCAGGCCAGCTGGAACTACAGGAAGACCCTGTCTCAAAAAGACCAAAAACTAAAAAGATTCATTTTATTCTTATTTATGTGTATATGTTTCTGTGATTATATGTTTGCAGGTGCCACTATTCTGATGCCCTGGAGCTAGAATTACAGGTGGTTGTCAGATGCCCAGTGTGGGTTCTGGGAACCAAACTCCAGTCCTCTGAAAAAGCAGCAAGTGCTCTTAACCCCTAAACCATCTCTCTAGCCCCAGGGGTTGTGGATTTTTAGTTTTGCTTTTTAAAACAGTCTCACTATGTAGCCCTATCTAGCCTTGAACTTGTGGTGATCTTCCCGCATTGCCTCCGTACACAGTTGTGAGGGAAAATGGCCTGGGAGACGCTGTGACAACCACAAATCAACAGCAAAACCCCACTTCAGGAGAGGGAGAGCTCCCTAAGAACCTTGGAAATCAAATGTGGTAGCTCATGCCTATAATCCCAGCACTCAGGAAACTGTGGCAAGAGGATTGCTGAGTTCAAGACCAGCCTGGTCTACACAGAGAGTTTAAGGCCAGCCTGGGCTAATGAGTGAGACTAGTCTTGACACACATACCTGCCCCCTGGTGCTCAAACACTTTCTAGAGTTGTGGCTCACATAGATGCAGGTATACAATTCTGAAGCTGACTTAACTGTACACAAGAGCTGAAAATAAACATAAACTACCAAGAGTAACGCTTCTCACTACAGGAGAAAAAAAGTTAGAAATAAGGAAAAGTAGAAATAATAAAGGACAACTTTCCTTAACTTAAGTTCCAGGGGATCGATACCCTTTTATGGTCTCTTAAGGCACCAGTACAAACATTCAGACACATTAAAAAAAGAAAATTTAAAAAATCTGAATTCATCACTAAAATTTAAAAGTTGAAATATTGGCTGGGCATGGTGGTGCATGCCTGTAATCTCAGCACTTGGGAGGCAGAGATAGGAGAATTGGGTCATCCTTGGCTATGTAGGTTTGGGGCCCACCTGAGCAACATGAAAACAAAGCCTGAACAACTACATACACAATAAAAAGGTTTCCTGCCTTTTTTTTCTTTTCTTTTTGAGACAGCGTCTCCCTGTAGCCCCAGCTGGCCTGAAACTATCTATATAGACCAGAGAGATCTCACAGAGCTCCATCTCTTTCTGCCTCCTGGTGATGGGATTAAAGGCGTGGGCTGCTATGCCCAGCCGGTTCCTTCCTTTCTGTGATACTCCGGACCACTTGCCCTCACTGCCAGTCTGCTATAGTTGAGCGTGTCCACTTGCTGACCCCTGCCTGCCCCTCTACTACACTGTCTTCATTCTTTCATTCTTTACTTCACAAGCTCAGCTTTTTAGACTTTTGAGTTTGTGACACTCTGACTCATCCCAAGTCCTGAATTTTATAGACTAATGAGATTGAGTGGCCTACCTAAGGTCACAACAGTGGGTCAGTGCCAGGGAAGGACCCAGGGATCAGCTCTTTCCCCTCCCAGGCTCAGCAGCCCTACCTGTCCACCTCAGAGGCAAAGTGGCCTGAAAACTAACTTAGAGCATAAGGCCCACCATCATCCCAGACAGGCCTCCCAGGGCTGGATGCCAAGCATTCACTGGCACAATCAGGGTTCTGGCAGTGAGGAGGTTAGGGGAAGAAGGAGCCAATTACCCAAGAGGTCCCCTGAGTGGGTAGAGAAGAGGGGTCCCCCACTGGAGCCACCATGCACAGCACACGTGGTCTGCAACATCACTGGGGCGTCATCCACCTGCACCACAGCCGACAGGATGCCCGAGGTCACCAAGGGCCCACAGGCCTGGCCGAAGACACCAAAGCCCACCACGCTGACAGGCTCACCTGCCAGGGAGGGAAGGAGAGAAGCTGAGTACCTGCATTCTATGAGTTCCTATTGTAGACCCTCGCACCTTCCAAGAGGCCTATCCCAGGAACCTCTCTGCAGGAAGACACTGGAATTCCTTGTGTTACCAGCTCTACATATCCAACCACTGTTCCAGAGCATCAGGCGGGTCCCCAGTCCTCATTCCCTTCCTAGACTATGCAGTCACTTTGGAGATTTCTATCACCTAGCTCACATTTGTGGATTTAATATTCATCTCCCTCTGGGGTTAAGTTTCTGTGAAAAGACATGGCAATGGTGGTCATGAGGCAGCCCTACTTTCCTTCCTCAAGTGCTGTGAAGGGGCAGGGCACAAGTTAGTGGATCACAGGCACATCTCACTCAGTTCTCACCATGCAAAGAACAAGAGCAAGTTGCAGCAGCCCCATTTGACAGATGTAGAAACAGAGGCAGGGAAGAGTTAAGCATTCTAAGGACACTAGAAGCAGAGGAGAGACGCTAATCCAGAGGCCTCTCTCTTTTTTTGTCACCATATGAAATGGAATATTTGGGGCTGGAACTATTGCTGCATTGGTAGAGTGCCTAGCATGCACAAAACCTTGGGTTTGATCCCCAGCACCTCATAAACCGGGTATGGTAGTGCACTCCTGTAATCCCAGCACTTAAGAAGAAGAGGCAGGAGGATCAGAAGTTCAAGGTCATCCTTGGTTATATAGGCTGTTTAAGGCCAGCCTCAGCTACATGAAACTGTTTTTCAAAAAAAAAAAAAAAGGATGAGAAGGAGAGATGGCTCAGAGGTTAAGAGCATTGACTGCTCTTGCAGAGGATCTGGATTCAGTTCCCAGCACCCACATGGCAGTTAACAACCATCTGTAACTCAGTTCCAGGGAGATCTGATGCCCTCTTCTGGTGTCTATGGGTGCTATATGCACAGGTGCACATACTATGCAAGCGAAACACTTATACACATAAAAATAAAGTTCTTAAAAAAATTAAAGAGAGAAATGAAAGCAAAGACTCTAATCACCTGTAACTCCAGTTCCAGGGAATACAATGCCTTCTTCTGGCTTCTGTGGGCACCAGGAATATATGCATGTGGTGCATATACATACACTTACACAAACATTCATACATAGAGAATAAAAATAAATCTTTGCCCGGCATGGTGGCACATGCCTTTAATCCCAGCACTTGGGACACAGAGAGGCAGGTAGATGACTATGAGTTCAAGGCTAGCCTGGTCTACATAGTAAATTCCAGGTCAGCTGGGGCGATATAGCAAGAACCTATCTAAGAAAAAAAGATTAATGACTTTTATCCAAATCATGCCACTGGAGCCTCAAGGGTGCCGTTCACTCCTGTGACCAGCCTTAAGTGTTTGTTAGTAGGAGTTCCCAAGGCCTAGCACCCCAGTATCACACTGCTGCAGGCCCTCAGCAGACTACCACTCTGCCTAGCACTTGGGGTGTCCTGACACACAGGGAAATCTACCACAAAAACCCAAGAATTCCACCAATAACCTCAACTCAGCAGGGTGGGGAAAGGGAGCCAGTCACCTGGTCTTTGTGCTTTGAGTGTCAATACTAACTCTGTCCTGGGGTCCAGCCCAGCCCGACCCTCCTTCACACTATGCCCTTTGTCCTTTACCTTCATGGAAGTGCTCAGCAGGCACAGGCATGGGGACACCATCCAGGTCCTCCTCAAGGCTCACAACTGCTATGTCATATGGAGAGGTCTCCTGGGTGGCAAATGTCACACGACCCCAGATTGCCACACTCCTGGGGGCACAGAAAACAAATGACAAAAGCTAGCCTCCTGACACTTTAACACTAGGAAGAACACAAGACAAGTCATGAACGTGGAGTCAGAATATCTGCGTGTCAACCATCAAACCCATCAGGCAGGCAGCTCTGGGCATGCCACTTAACCAGAAGTGCTTTACAAACTATAGACTGTTTCTACCCAAAACTGCTTGTGCCTAGCCATAATGTGCATGTGACTCCTAGGGAGGGCTACAAGCCAGGCCTTGATGCTTGTGGGAATTGTTTCATTTAGATCTTTTAAGTCTACAAACTCAGGTATTACCCCATTTAGATGGTCCAGCTGAGGCTCACAAAGTTGAGCAACCTTCCCAAGGTCACAAGTCAAATGTACTAGAACCTTTTGGCATTGGCTCACTGATGGTCGCTATATACTTATGTGCTGGCACTTCTGTAGCATACTGTGTGAGCCAGGCTCTGGTTCAAAACTTTACATGTCAATTCCTGGGCAGATAGCTCAGCCAAATGAAGTGATCTGCCACCCTACATGTACTCTGCAGAGTAGCTTCCAGAAGACCTGAAAGTTTTCTTGGGAGCAAGAGTCAGGGGAGGGTGAGGACCATACCACAGGGAAATCCTCATTTTCCCTATAAAACCACACTTGTTCTGTCTGCTGTCAGTGGGGACTCTGGCAAAGCTGGGCTGGATCAGCACACTGGACTAACCTCCAAGATTCAGAAGAGCCTGGACTGTGGAGCTGGTTGAGCCAGGTAAGGTGAAAGCCAGGCATTTATACCCAGGTGCTAAACTGCTCAGCTCTGCCCTAAGTTAAGCACCTGGGGCCCCAGAGGAAACCACAGAAAACCAAGGCAGGAAGGCAAGGCCCCTGTCCCCAGCCCAGAGCAAAGGGAAAGAAAAGGAGAGCAAAGGTGTTACACCCAGAGGGAACGAGTTAACTGTGTAAAGTCCCAGCTTAGCTGCACTCTGAGCTCACCCAGATGTTCAGAGCACATCCCTCTGCCTGGGCCCCAGCCTTGCACCTGCCATCTTCACACAGCAGGGTGACTCTAAACTAGGTAGGATTAAAGGGCCATCACATCATTTCAGGGCCTTCACCACCACTTTCAGGACTGAGGTTGGCAGGGTGGGCAATCTCTGGTCTTAGCTGGGCTAGGAAACTGAGCTGTCCACAACGGACCAAGCTGTGTGGAGAGTTCAAAGACACCCAGTCCTACCTACAGGGAGCCTGAGGGATCTCAATGCTTAAGTCGCTTGTGCCTGGCATCTTGTCCAAGATCCACTGGGCCGCACCAGGAGGCCCAGCTCTCCTTACCCCTATTCTGGGCCTCAAGGATGAGGGCAGGGTTCTAAGTCTCTAAGCACACTACAGGCACTAAGCCTCAGAGTGCCACAGAGTGGAAAGCCGAATCCACACTGAGACCTGGTGAGTGCTGGCAGCGCTCAGGCCTTACTTGGGGGTGGCTAAGTGCACCAGGACCCTGGCCGATTCCCGAGGAGCCACGTGCCGGCAGGTCACCACCAGGCGAGACGCCACGGCCACTCCGGAGCCCCACACGCTGCCGCACTCCACCAACACGGCGGCCGATGCCCACGGGGGTGCGAGGTCTCGCAGGGGCAGGCCCCGTGGGGTGCCCACTTCGGGCGGCAGGAGGGCGGCCAGGGCAGCGGAGTCGGGGTGCAGGCGGACGAGTGCGGCGCGGGCGGCTTGCAGCAGGGGGGCGGCGGCGCAGAGCAGCGTGAGGCCCACCCACTCGCGGGCTTTCCAGCAGAGCGGCGCGGCCACCAGCGCCACCAGCGCGCCGGCGGGCCGAGCTGCGAACACACCGCCACCCTCAGTGCCGGGCAGGCAGCGCGCGTCGGTGAGCAGCAGCGGACCGGCCGCGTTGCTGAGCACGCCGCGACTCAGCGTGTTGAGGAAGATGTCCGGGCAGAAGGCTCCGAAGGGGGAGCCGCAAGCCAGCAGCGGTGCGCCTTTGGCCACGCTCCCCAGAGGCGCCACGGCCAGGGCCGGCCCGCGCTCCTCACCCTCCGCGTCCGCGCCCCGCCGCACGCGCAGTAGCGCGAACCAGCCGAGAGCTCGTAGCTGGTCCTCCTCCTCCTCCTCCGATACCTCGTCGTCTGGCGCCGCGCTGACGAAGTGCCACTGCTCGGCCGCCTCGGCGCCGAAGAGCCGCGCGAAGTGGGCGCGGAAGGCGGGGCAGCTGAGCAGCAGCAGCAGCTCCGCTGGCCGCGGAGGCTGCAGAGGACGCCCGCGGGGCTGCAGGCCGAGGCCCAGGCCGGCGCACTGCGGAGTGCACAGCCCAGGGCGGCCCTGCTCCGCGCGGCCTGCTGGAGTCGCGGCCGTGGGACCCCACTGCACGTGCAGGCGCAGGTCGTCGGTGCAACTGTCGCCGGGCAGGAAGGCGACGCACGCCTCGGTCAGGGCTCCGCTGCCCGCCCTCAGGAAAGGGGTGAAGATGCCTCCGTGACACAGCACCAGGCCCGGGTTGCGGCTCAGGATCACCCCGCTGCAGCTCCACGAGCCCACGTCAGGCTGCCCGGCCCGGGAGGCGCTCACCACGCAGCCTGCCTGCTCGGCTGACCTCATGGAGGGTCCCCACTGCCGCCCCATGGTCAGGGGACCCGGACTGTCAGGGCTTCCCTGAGCACGCAGCAGCGAGCTAGGCCGACTGCCAGCACCGCGACGCCGCGCAACGGCAGCCACAGCTGGGCGCGTCGGGCGCAAGCACTGACTCAGGGCTTCCTCGGCTAGCCCGATTGGCTGAACCCCAAGTGACCCGACCCTATTGGCTGGGCCGAGCCCCGATTGGCTGCTGCTGATCCCTCCTTTCCCCGCCCACCTTGGTCTATCCAACCGGTAAATTCTTCAGAAAGGTTCCTGGAAATCCAGGAGTGACAGGCGTGCAGCGTCAGTGGAAGATGCGCTTCTATGGGATGAGGGCGGGTCCCTCCGAGTCTAATCTCTTATTTGTTTGGCTGACATGACAACGTTTGGCTAGGAATGAACAGGACCCCACAGCCCTTGCACAGTGGTAAGCAACCTCCGGCCCCTGGCCCCAGGGATAATGTGGACCAAGGGAGTCCTTGGTTCATTCAATGTATGCTTTGAATATTGTAAAGTAAACCCTTCGACAATCCCCTAAGGGGGCAAGCGACTCACAAAATTATTCCTTAGAACCGTTATCTAAATTGTTGCACCGGGATTCTAGCTTTTGGGTGGTTTTTGTTTTGTTGAGACAGGGTTCCACTATTTTAGCCCAGATTGGATTCGAACAAGGGAGATCCTTCTGCCACAGGCTCCTAAAGTGCTAGGTAAAATAACAGTTGTTCACTGCCAGGAAGCTTTTGTTTCTCCGGTTTTCTTGAGACAGGGTCTTCCTCAGAGATCCACCTGCCTCTGCCTCCAGAGTTACTGGGATTAAAGGCGTTCACTCAGCCACAACTTAAATTCTTAAAAATCATATAATCCTGTACTTTGCAGTATGCCCATTTCACATGCCTTTTATAGCCATCCGTCAGGATTTATGCTGGATCAAGGTTCAAATACTTCATCTCTGAAAGGTTAGAATGGAAACAATTCAAGTTTTGTGGGCTACACAATCTTCATGTGCAAATATTCAATACACAACCCAAAGGAATTGTGGGGCTGGGTTCCAAATAAAACTGCATAAATTCCAATTTCATGTAATTCCCATATCACAAAATCACACTCCTTTTTTTGCCTAATCATTTAAAGAGAGATGGCTCCGCGGTTAAGAGCTCTGACTGCTCTTACAGAGGACCCGGGTTCGATTCCCAGCACCCACATGGCAGTTATGAACCGTCCTTAAGTCCAGTCAGTCCCAGAGGAATCCGAAGCCCTCTTCTGACCTCCGCGGCATTGTATGACACGGGTGGACTCACATACATGCAGAAAATACACTCATACAATAAAAATAAAAAGTTTTAATGTAAAAACCGAGACCGGAGAGATGGCTCAGTGGTTGAGTGCTTACTGCTTGTTCTAGTTTGCCTTCAATAGCTGTGACAAAACACTCTGACCAATACCAACTTGGGGAGGAAAGGGTTTATTTGGCTTACATCTCCCAGGTTACAGTTCATCAGGGAGCTTAAGGTAGGAACTCAGGGCAGGAACTTGGAGGCAGGAGCTGAAGCATAGGCCATGGAGGAACGCGGTTTACTGGCTTGCTCCCTTAGCCCATCAACCTGCTTTCTTATACAACACAGGACCACCTGCCCAGAGTGGCACCGCCCACAGTGGGCGGGGCCCTCACACATCCTCAATAAGCAAGAAAATGCCCCACAAACATGGCCATAAGTCAGTTCAGTGGAGGCAATTCCCCAAATGAGATTCCCTCTACCCAGGTGTGTCAAGTTGACAACCAAAGCTATCCAGCACACTGCTCTTTCGAGGACCTGGGTTCAGTTCCCAGCACCAACACGGCAGCTCACAAAAGTCCAAAAGTCTAGTTCCAGGGTATCTGACACCCTTTGCCCTCTTCTGGCCTTCACTTGCACTCCCATGGTGCACATAAACTCACTTAGGCAAACACACATACACATATCATCTTTTTAAAGTGCAAAAAGCAGCTGGGCGTGGTGGTGCACGCCTTTAATCCCAGCACTTGGGAGGCAGAGGCAGGCGGATCTCTGTAAGTTCAACGCCAGCCTGGTCTACATAGTGAGTTCCAGGACAACTGGGGCTACAGGAAGACTAGGTCTCAAAAAAGACCAAAAAAGAAAAAAAGTGCCAAAACCTTTCTTGACTCACAGACCATACACGTTGCAGGACTGATCTATCCCACAAACTGATGCTGGCTCAGATAAAAAAAAATCTTTCCTTCCAAATTATTATTTCTGGGCACAGATGAGCAGAAATAGGTATCTAGAGGGTCTTCATGAACTTCCCCAAAGCCGTGTCCACAGCTAGACACATTATAAAAGTCTGCTTTAATTACTAAAATACCCATTGTTTACTAGTATACCTGTCAGTGTTAGTGAAAACTACCCACTTGCTGCTCAAATTACTGCATGAAGGGGCTGGAGAGATGGCTCAGCAGTTAAGAGCACTGGCTGTTCTTACAGAGGATTAGGGTTCAGTTTCCAGCACCCACATGGTGGTGACTGGACACTTTCTTCTGGCCTCCTCAGGCATTGTACACATGTGGTGAACTTACATACATGCAAGTAAAACATTCATCCAAAATAAAAATCAATAGTTTTTAAAATTTGTGCATGAATTTTTTTTGGGGGGGGGGTCTTTTTGAGACAGGGTCTCCCTATAGTCACAGCTGGCCCTAACTCACAGAGATCCGCCTGCCTCCGCCTCCCCAGTGCTAGGATTAAAGGCATACCCCACCACGCCCAGCTATAAACAGAATCTGTATCACTGTGCTGGTTCCCTGGACAGCACAGCTGATTCCAATGCTCCTGGTGGCAAACCTATTTGAAAAAGGGAAACAGTGGATGAGGCAGGAGTGAAAGGAAGCAGCCTTCCCAGGCTGTTTTTGTTCTGACACAAAACCTCCTGCCTTCCCCAACTTCCTGGCAATTAAGACTCATTTTCTCTTGAGAGTCCAGTGATTCTCCCTTAATGACACTCAGGCCTCCAGCACCCACTGTTCCTCTTCAAGATTTTCTGTGTGGAGGGCAGACCAGAGAGCCAGCAGGAGCCACTGTGGAGACCCTTTTGAGCACTCAGCGGACTCACCATTACGTTCCACTGTGCCTCCAGCAAACACACTCATTTACCCTTGGAACCCACAGCTTCCTTAGGTGACCATGACACATCCAACACAATCCTTGTCATCAAGAACCTGTTACATTTTGTCTCCCACTCTATTTGTCCTAGTACTTTGGTTTTGGGATCTCCTTTGGGATTTATTCTAAGCAACCATAAATGCGGAGTCCTCTGTTTTGTCACTGAAATGATTCTTCAATGCTGTGTAGGATGATGCTGTCCTTGCTAGCTGCATGTCTGATTTTGCTCAAGCACCTGCCACCACTATTCTCTTGTGGAAATGACCAACCACCATGAGCACAGCATGATCTGAGGTGCTCAAGCAGTACTGAATTTGCTACTAGAGCAGCCCAGCCTTTGTATTTTTTTCCTAGAAGCAATCAAGCCTCAATTCACCTTAAATGTTTCTTCCTATACATAGGATTGGTGTTTCCTCCCAATACAGGTAACCTTGTATGCTCAAATACAGAACAAATCAATGCAAAAAAAGAAAAAAGAGGCAAGTTTGTTTTAGCTTTTTATTAAAATGCTTAGGATACAGACTGACCTTTTGTAATGACAGGTTTACTTTTGCTGGAGTAGGACATATGTGCACTCTGTTAGACAGAATGAAGAGTCTCAATTCATGGCATTTTGCACAAGGCCCAGGCCCTCTGGGGGAGCCGTGCTCCTTGCAGCAGCCTTTTCAGCTTCCTTATTTTAGGAATGGCGTTCTGTGGGGCAGGAAACAGACTGGTGCCACTCTGCAGGCACCTCTTTCTCCAATGGCCAGAATAAACCACTTTCACAAAGAGCTGCCCTGAGTAAAGCCCATAGTTTTCTAGATTGCTACAGAGAGATTAGGGGCAAACAGGGAAAACACAAATAGGAAACGAACACTGAGGCAATCATACCTGTCATTTTCCTGGACAAAGAAGCATAGTCAGCCTTTAGCCAGTTACCCACCTAGATCATTTACCTGAGGCTTTAATGACCCTTTCCACATGAACCGTTCTGTCTCACTCCAGCTATGCTTGGATAAATGCAATGCATGCACTTGCCAGACAGCTCCTCACCAAGCCTATGCATTTAGACCCAGCAGTGCAACAGAACACTGCCCCACTAGGACCATGCTCAGATTAACAATGAGAACTCACTCCCCAGGAGTATGTTACCCACAATCCCCACGCTCTCACTGGACATAGGTTCTCCGAAAAGAAGCATCATCATCATAATTTTCACTTGAGGAAACTACCTCGCACCTTTCATTAAATGAAGTAATAGACACCCTCCCATCTTTAAACCATATCTTATCCTTTTATCTCTATTACAGGAGTATAGGTTAACATCATGAAAACCCAATTTCACATGTGGCACCAAGAAAACGAAATACTATAAAAATCCACTGACATTCTCACAGGCAGCTGCTGCTTCCACACTGGCTTTGCTGCCTTAGGGTCAGACAGGAAGTCCTACACTCAGTGTTTTCTCTGCTTATGTCTGAAATGGAGAAAAGCAACTTCATACCACACCCTGCCCAAACTTGGAAAAGCTTCAGGTGTTAACCTTTAAACAGTAACAAAACAAATAACCAGGAGGAAAAAAAAAGAGCTCATGAACAGCCCAAGAAACCAAATTCTGCAAGTGGAAAATTTAAGAGTCCACTGACAAAAGTCGGTCCTAGGTTCACTTGGTACTACTACCACCGCAGATGGCCAAGCCCTTGACTCACAGAATGAAGAGCTCTTCAGCTGTTGACCTTGCCCTGTGCCCTCCTATTCAGAACACTTTCCCCTTAGAATTTGTACAAAAGTATCTGACTCTAAGCACAAGACTATAGGAGACATGTTCTCAACTCTTTGAGGCAAACATTGCTTTTGTAACTGACAATGAAAAAGGAAGGAGCTGCAGAAAGAAATGACACCAGAGCAGAAGAGCAGAGTGCTGAAACTGGTAACTGTAAATAAAAATAATACAGTAACAATAACTCACTTTAGAGCCCATCCTTCCACAGTGAACAATCTGCTGCCCACTGCAAGACGAGCAGTGCCCCCTACCACAGTGGAAACCTGCCACAACTGCCTGGCCAGGGCTCTGTCCTTTCCTAGTTCTCGGTGCACACAGACACCACCTCCAACAAAGCAGTTACACATACAAGGGAGCGCTGGCCTCCAATGTGTTATCTGTTCATAATTTTATGAAATATCTAAATTCCATTTACTAGTTAAAAACAAAAAAAAGAATAGAAAACTCTGGACCAAGTAAATATTCAACTCAAAAAGTTAGAGGAGAGTTACCAATTACATTAACAACACTTTCTTTAAAAAATAGAATCACTTTCTTTTGAAATCAACCACAGTGGTGAGACGTGTTTTTCTTTTCAGGGGTCCCATGATGGCACAAACAGCTTTACCTAGCAAATCCTGCCAGCCTCCAAGTCCCTGGATACTGACCTGCACCAGCACATGGGCAGCACTACCTCCCAACAGTGTGGAGAAGAGCACATGTCACCACTGGGTGATGAGCGTTGACAGACGCTTGGCTTCTCAACACCAGACATGGTTGGAGAGCTTTCCTTGTTCTATTAGAAAAGTTCATGAGGAAGCTGTGAATAGGATCAGTCCAGAGAAGTAAAACTCTTTTATTTTCACTGTCCAAACATCAGTCAATATATTGGGAGAGCCAGCGGAAACCCTCGCCATAGCCTTGCCTCTTGAGCACACTGCACATGAACACTTCCATGGGGCGGGCGTTCAGTTCCTTCAGAGTCACAGTTCCCTAAGGGGGAGACAAACGCCAGAAAGGCCTGTTAGCATCTCCACATGGAAAGCTTGAAAGCGTGGTGGCTGACACCAGTTTCTTTGTTCTCCACCACAAATGCAAGGAGGTACTAATTACAGAAATGTGTTTGGCCAGGCAGATGGTTTCTGCAGGGCATTCTGCTTCAGGGTAAAAATAAACAGCATGGTTCTATGCATAGCCTCACCCTGTACCTCTGAAGAGCATTTGCTCTGAATGTCCAGTTATGACAAGAAACTATGGAGAAAGCTGCAGGGACCCATGGAACCAGCATGTTCTTTGATGAACAACAGAAGCCCAGGACTGTTGAGATGCATTCATTAACATAAGCCTTCAGAAACACTGAGGCTTGAACAAATTCAGTGAAGGGGCTACAGAGGTGACTCAGTGATTAACAGCACATGCAGAGGACCCAGGTTTGGTTCTTAGCATCCACATGGCAGCTCACAATTGCCTGTAATTCCAGTTCTAGGAGATCTGACACCCTCTTCTGGCCACTTCAGGCACTGCATGAGTAGGTACACATACATACATACAAGAAACACACACACACACTAAATAATCGAAAAGAAATTCATGTGTATGTAACACTCATAGTGGGACAATTAAATGAGTCGAAAGAAGAACTGTTTACACACACACACACACACACACACCCCATGTACACTATTATTTTAAAGATAGAATCTCAGGCTGGCAAGATAATTCAGCAAGTAATGTTGCCCACACCTGATAACCTCAGTTCAACCCGAGACCCCCATGGTGTAAGGACAGAACCAATTCCCATAGGTTATCCTCTGGCCTTCATACATATACATGGCATACATGCACAAACACACACACATAAATAAAAGCAATAAAGGCAGGCTCTTTATTTGTATACCAGGCTGGCCTCAATAGGATTATAGACATGCACCTCCACATCTGGCTTGGAAGCATTCTTTTAACAAACAATGCATTAAGACTAAGGAACTATGTGAATAAGGAAGTTTTCAGAGTTCACAGGAAAAAAAAAAAAAAGTCTTTTAAACTTTAAAAGCTCAAGATAAGGGGGCTGGGGCAATAGCTCAGTGGACAAAGTGCCTGGTACATAAGCAATCCCCCACATAAAAACTTGGACATGATCGAGCACATCTGTAACCCCAGGTGTGGGGTACAGAGACAGGTAGCCTGCCTACTCCAATAGATGGAACTCCAGGTTCTTTTAGAGGAAAAACCAAACATCACCCCAAGTCTCTAACATGCATGCACGCACACACACACACACACACACACACACACACACACACAAGGGCACACGCACACATGTGAGCGCACACGCGCACTCTTATAAATAAATAGTTGCAAAACACCCCCCCCACACACACACATAAACACACACACAAATAAAAAGATCAGAAGGATTCCTGCATAATTACACCTGGCTTGTATTTTCCATCTCATCAGCCTGTATTTCCACAACAGCATCCTTCCAATTATCGACACCACAGTACACTGATGTTAGGTATTCTAGCTCTATTTCTGCTTTATTATTCTGTTATTCACTTGCTATGCACACCTGAACACATTACTTTGTTTCCTCATTTGCAAAATGGGGTCACAGTCTCACTTCTCTGAGCATGGAGCACTGAGGATAATCAAGTGCTTTGATTTTAATACTTGGAAAGTATATACATGATCGCTCTTTGTCAAACCTGAAATTTACAGTAAAAAAAAAAAGTAAGAATTTTAAGCTAAGAGCTCTTCCAAGTGTCTTCTGAGAATCAGATTTGAAAGATGAGAAAATTTCTTTTTTTTTTTTTATTATTTTTTAAATTATATGTATGGAGGGGGTATACAGATGACTACAGGTACCCACAAAGGTCAAAAGAGGGTGCTGAATCCCCGGGACCTGGAATTACAGGCAGCTGACAGAGACCTGAACTCAGGTTCTCTGCAAGAGTAGTACATGCTCTTAACTGCTGAGTCATCTCTCCAGCCCCAGAAAATTCTTAAGAAGTAACATTGCCTTTTCTACCATTTCTTCAATTATTAGGTCTTAGAAAATGTTGGGGGGGGGGTGCTGGAAAGATGGCTCAGCAGTTAAGACCACCGTCTGCTCTCCAGAAGAGGACCCGGGTTCAAGTCCCAGCACACAGATGGTGGTTAACAACCATTTGTGTTCCAGGGGATCCAACACCCTTTTCTAACCTCTGAGGGTCAGACATCGGTGGACTTACATACATGCAAGCACTCAAACACGTAAAATAAAAATTTTAATTAAAAAAAAAAAGAGGGTTGGGAGTATGGCTCAGTGTACAGCATTTACTGAGCATGTACAAAGGCCCTAGGTTCAAGGCTATTTTTGTATCTCTAGGAAGGAGGGGAGAAGAGAAGGAGAGAAAAGAGGAAGGAGGGAAATAATAGCTAAAAGTTCTGCTGCTTATCAGTGAGCATATAAAACCATGCTTAACATGAGATCCTGTCACAAAAGATAAACAAAAAAAGCACCCATGCTGGAGCACTGCGTCTTCTCCACACCTCCTAAAGACTTTTCTCTTACCTTGCCTGTGGTCTGTCCATAAAGCCCAAATATCTCACGGAGTTTTTCTTCACCGATTGCATCTGTCCTGTCAATTTTGTTTCCCAAGATAAGGATTGGCACATTGGATATTGTTTCATCAGTCATTAAAGCCTACAGAGAGGATTTAAAAAGACTCAAGTGAGGAACCTAGGAAAGTTCACCACATAATGAAAACCAGTTCCTACAGTTTCCTAAGGCATCACATGGTCATCTTTGTATCTGAGGAACAGCTCACATACAATAAAAGAAAAAGGTTAAGCAATAGAAAGAAGGATGCTGAGCATGAGCAGGATGTAGTATCACCCACCTGTAAACCCAGCACCAGGAAGCTGAAGCAGAAGGATTTCCAGTTCCAAGCCAGTCTGGGCCACAAAATGAGGATTCTCAAAAAAAAAAAAAAAAAAAAGGGGGGGGGGGGGGAGTAGAGAGATGGCTCAGCACTTAGGAGTACTTGTTCTTACAGAGGACCCAGGGTTAGTTCTTAGCACTCATGTCGGCAGCTCACAACTGCCTGTAATTCCAGTTCTAGGGGATCTAATGCTCTCTTCTGATCTCTGTAGGTACCTGCATATATGTAGTATAGATTCATACAGGCACACACACATAAAAATATTGGGGCTCAGCAGTTAAGAACACTGGCTGTTCTTGCAGAAGATCCAGGTTTGAATCCCATCACCCACATGGCAGCTAACAACTGTCGGAAACTTCAGTTCCAAGGGATCTGACGGCCTCTTCTGCCCTCCTTGGGCATTGCACAACACGGGTGCACTTACTTACATGCAGGCAATACATGCATACACATAAAATAAAAATAAAAAATAATGTTTTTTAAAAACATATTTTTAAAAGTAGGAGTGGAGAGGGGCGGAGGGGAGCTGATCAAAAACATAATTGCATGAAATTATCAAATCAATGAAAAACTTGTGATGAAAAGACCACATTATGTAAAAATGTTTACTCTAAAAGTAACAGAACTATTAAAGGAAATTAGGTAGGGTAGTGTCAAGTATGAGAAAGTTCCTGTAGCCACAGCATGGCAGCAGTCAGGGGATAATGAAGTTCCACTTGGGAAGAGAGTAAGGAGGGAGTACTTTCTGGGCCACAGCAGTATGTGTGAGGCTGGAGTTTAGCAGGTGTGGATGAGAGCTATTCCCTTCGGAATCATTACCACGTGGGTGGCAGATGAAAGAATGGGCGATGACACCAGTCTGGGAAAGAGCACAGAGACTCAGGAAGAAGTCCACTTAAGGGTTAGGCAGAAGAAGAAGTGCTTGTGAAGAAGAATGAAAAGTAAACCAGACAACACTAAAAATCAACAGTAAATGATTGGACGTGGTATACACTAGCGTAGTCCCAGTACTTGCCAGGCTGTAGAGGCCAGCCTGGGCTGTCCATAGCAAGACCCTGTCTCTAAAAACAAACAAATTAATTAAATATAAAGTCAGGAGTATAAAGTGGAGCTTAAAGGAAGAACAAAATCATGAGGTCAAGTAAGGTAAGGACTGCCCCCAAGCAATTCCACACCAAAGGACAGACATTAGAAACATACTAAGAAATAAACCTGAGACAGGTTCAAACTGTCAAGAACAAGAGTGCAGGGGGGGTGGGGTGGTTAACAACTGCAAATCACAAAGAGAAAGAGAAAGAGATACAGGGAGAAGGGGTGGAGATAACAAGGGAACATCACTGCAAGGCTGACAAAGGAGAAAACCCAAGTGAGTCCCTAGTGGTATTAAGGGATACAAGGAACCCAAAACACTGAAGAGCTACAGACTTTCAAAGTCTAGTACTTGACTCAGTGGGAAAAGGCAGATTAAAAAGTGTTAAGAAATCTCATCTCTTTCAGGGTTCCACTACACCAATACTACAGAGTGACCAAACATGAGATATAAGAAGGATGGCTACTAAGTAGGCTGGGACAACAGATGTACTGGGGAGTGTTCTGAGCAATCTGGGCCACAGTTACTCTATAAGGATGGCAAAGTTAATTCATTCAAATTCAAGCTGAGGTTTCTCAGTACACTGAAAAACTCTTATCTCCGATTCTAAATATTTTCTTCCAGGACTCTGACCACACATTAACTGGGATAATTGCATACTGGCACTATTAAGCTGCACTTCTTAAAACAAACAGAGGCCAAGACAGTGAAAAAAATTATAAATATAAACCTACATTAAGCTCAACTTTGGATTCCATGAGGCGAGAGTGATCTGCACAGTCCACCAGAAAGACAATCCCATTAATCGCTGGGAGATAATTTTTCCAAACCCGACGTGCTGAAAGACAGAAATGTATAGATGCCATCAACAAAAAATGCAACTGACAAATGAATAATCTACTGGCCTACAAAATTAGACTACATTCTCAAGTACTGACCAGTACCAGCAGAACAGAGGCTGCAAAGTATGGTCCACGATGTAAACTTGAGTCTTGAGAAGTTGAAAATGAAGGGCTTTGTCTTCCTGGATAACTCCAGCACCTACAATCCCATACTTGCCTTCAGCTGCCCCTTTACATGAAGTCTGAGTCTTCAGATTGTCAAAATTTCCACCACTCCCTAGTGTCCTTAAATGCAGTAAATTTGACTCAAGTGACTTTGAGCCAATTTTGTTTGCACCCTCCAACTTAAAACATAATAATTAGCTGTTCATATAACTTTAGTCCCAAAATACTTCCTAATAAGCTAGTGAGGAGACATGGTGACAAACTTGACTGCTCAGCCCTCAGGACTGGGCCTGAGAGGTGGTTGAAACTCCCAGGCCAGTTACTCAGCCTGCCCTATTTCCTTCAAGGTGTTTTGTTGTGTTCAGACAGGGTCCCACTGTGTCATATAGCCTAGGCTGCCCTTGAACTCTACATCTTCCTACCTTGGCCTCCCAGTAGCTGGAATTACAGATGTATGCCTCCACAACGAGCTATATATTACTTGTCTTTGTTTAGTGATAAGCATGAATGTCTCAAAGTGGTGCTTTAACTGTGCTATATATTATTGTACTGTAAGGGGAGGCAGTTGGGGATTGAACACTTCAGGGTTTGAGACAGGATTCTCCCCATATAGCCCAGGGTGACACTCTCCCCACAAAGTGCTGGGATTGCAAGCATGTGCCACCACACCGTACTGCACTATAATCCCTACAGCATTCATTTCTAGTGCTCACATGGGATATGAGGGAGCAAGTCTACATCAAAGTGCTAGTTAACAGCCGCCAAGCAGAGGGAGAGGCTGGAGCTTTCACTTTTACTTCCACATTGACATAGTTTATTACACTAAGCCTGTGCTTTTATAAATTTTTTTTTTTTAAAAGGGACACTTTTAAGTCAGGCATGGTGGCACACACATTTAGTTCCAGCACTCAGGAGGCAGAGACAGGCAGATCTCTGTGAGATCCAAAAGACCAAAAAAAAAAGGGGGGGGGCACTTTAAAGATGTACAATATTGTAGATGCTTCTATAAAATGGTTGTTTTTTTCAGCTCAGTGGCCTGTACAAGGGCAGAAGCTAGAGAGAGATTGCACAGCACATAATGGAGCCAAATAAGAGAGCCAGCCTCAGTTCAATCCTCAGAACCCACAAGATGGAATAGAACCAACCCCTACAAGTTGTCCTCTGAGCTATACAGGTGTGCCATGGTGTGCAAGTGCATGCACAGATACCCCACGCTTTTTTGAAAAAAAGAAAAGGCGCTGGAGAGTTGGCTCAGCAGTTAAAGAGAACTAGCTGCTCTTGCAGAGGACTTGGGTTCCATTCCCAGCACCCACATGGCAGCTAACAACCATCTTAACTCCAGTTCCAGGGGAATCTGCCACCCTCTCCTGACCTTTGAGGGCACTGTACAGCATGGGTGCACCTACCTACATGCAGACAAAAAATGATAATATTTAAATAATAAGAAAAAAATGCTGGGAGTTCAAAACTGAACACAGAGTGGTGGTGCAAGCCTTTAATCCCAGCAGAGGCAGATGGATGTCTGTGAAACTAAGGACAGCTAGGTCTGCCAGGCCAGACAGGGCTACATAGTAAGATGCTGTCCCAAAAAACCAAACCAAAACAAACAAAAAACACCCAAATAGCTGGGCTTCATATCAAGATCCTGTCTCAAAATAAAAATAATTAGATAAGTGTTCTTGTTAAGTAAATTTGCCTCAGATAACAAAATAAATCTCTATACATCAACACATTCCCCGTCCCTTTACTTAAGGAAGCCTGCAAGCTAAATTTATCACATTAAATCTCCAATTCCAAGTTCAGGTATCTAAAGACATCTGTTATCAATTGGTTCGGAATTCTCCAGATGGCTCAGATTTCTCTTGCTCTGAATTTAGATTTGTAAGAGAAGCAGAAAGACACCAAATACCCACCCATCCCTAACTACAAAGGAAGAATAAAGAGCTCATTACAGACAAAAGAAAATAGACATTCCCTAGTTGTTGGGGAACCCTGCTGTTAAGGTTGGCTCCTTTCTCAGCAGGAACTTCCTGCCTGACTTACCAGGAAAGTGCCGCCAAGCACAGATGCTTGGCCTCGTTTAACATGACCCTAGGAATAGTTACCTGGAGTAAAAACTACCCCCAGGTTTTTTCTATATGATAATTAGGCATTGCCCGGTAGTCAGATGATAGGAGCCCACTGCCACATGTAAATAAAGCATACTATGAGCACCTATCAGCTGAGGCATTGGCTACTGCCTCCACACTATATTTTCCCTAACCCCCACTGAATAAACGGAGCTGTTTCACTGAAACTAGAGCTGTTTCACTGAGTCTGGAGCTGTTTGTATCACTGAACCTGCCTACCCAGAAGGGCTTTCTTCTGTCAGTGCTCACTGGCCATCCTGACCCCGTTCGTTGAGGCTTCTGCTCCCTTGGTCCTCGTGGGGCTGGTGGCCAACGACCCAGGAGGGGAGGGAGAGACCCCACACCTACTAACTTCTGGTATATTTTCCTCTACTTTTTTTTTCTGAACAGGCATTTTCAATTATTCTAATAATATTAAATATGACTTTTTAGGATATAAATTTTGAATGAAAAAAAATCATATGCTAATGCAATTAATTGTATTCCACAAAGTTGTCCTTTGACCTCTGCATGAGGACCCTGACACGTGTACACACACACACACACACACACACACACACACACACAGACACACACACACCATGCATGTGCATACACTGGAGAATACACACAATTTCGTTTCCAAGTAAAGTGACTGCTCTGCTGGGGGTGGCTCACAGGACGAAGTCAGTATCACACCCTTGAGTCTCTTACCTTGCTCATGTCCACCAAGATCAAAAGTGGTAAAAGTCATTCCAGCAATCGTCAGCTCTTCTGAGGCTGAAAGTGTCAAAAAGAGGGGAAGAAATAAAACTTCCCATTACTAGTACTGTAACCCAATATTAATACAAATCTTAATGAAGTTTCCACCTTGTTAAAAAAAGATAGAGGAATTTAAACATTCTTTTAAAAGCCTCAATTTTCCTTTTCTCTAAATTTTCTACTTAGAATCAGATACAGGGCATGTGTCTCATTACAGAACCAACCAGAAAAGATGGTAACAGAGTTCCAGAGGTTTAGAGTGTGACCTGAGTGTGTAACATAGATCACTTCAAAGTGAGCTAATGTCTGGGACCTCAGTAAAAGAACTGTTAACTGGGGATTCATCTTCCAGGCCTCGTATTTTCAAACCTACTGGGATGTAGTGTTGGAACATGTTGGCCCAATCTGTCATCTTTGAGCATGTGAAGAAGAGTGGTTTTGCCTGCATTGTCCAAACCCAAGAATACAAGCTTTCCAGATTTCTTATAGAGTCCTAAAAGAGAAAAGAAAATTATTATGTAAATTGTATCTCTTACACCAAAGGCTGCTTTTATGTACACTGTTGGAGGAAGTGCAGTTTGAAACCTGTAGTGTATTTCAAGGAAATGGATTTACCTAGGAACTGAAGCACACTGCTGAAGCCATTGTAGATCCACTCGAAGATGAACGACATTATTAATGCTTACTACCTGGGAAAAACATGAACATAGGAAACATTAGCTTTCTGCATGCCTTATTCTCTGGCCCTGATACATGTTTACAGACCCAAGTTGTCTAGGCTAAGAAAGCAAAGACCAACTAACCACAAAATTCTCCCCTCTCCCCAGGAATTTGTGCTTGGGAGGGAAGCCTCTAGAGTTCTCAGATATGCACAAATTCAGATACCCAGAGTTACAGGAGACTTACTCCTCTAGGCAGCTGCTCATTCACACCCCCACTAGCCACTGCTGCCTACCAGTTAGCAACACCTCTAGGGAATCAGTGTCATCAAAAGGCCAAACAGGAGCACTAGGTAAAAAACATGAATGACAGCTGGGTGAAGTGACCCATGCACTTGAGAGGCACAGAGGCAGGAGACTCACTGGCCAGCCTTGTCTACACAGTCAGTTACAGGCTAGCCAGGGCTATACAGCAAGACTGTGTCTCAAAAACAAAAAACAGAAAAAAAAACACCAAAAATCCTAAAAAACTAAAAATACAAATTAACTCGAATGAAAAGTCTATTGGCACATTCTTAAACACAGCTCTAAGAAACAGTCACCCCAAATCTGATCAACTGACCCAATTTACCTTGCTCTATTTACCAATGGTATCGCCTCTTAAGCAACCCCTTTGCTTTAAAAAAAATTTTATTTATTATTTTTATTTTATGTGTATGCATGTATTGCTTGCTTGTAGGTAAGTGCATCCATGTTGTGCAATGCCCGTGGAGGTCAGAAGAGGCTGTTGGATCCTTTGGGACTGGAGTTATGGACACTTGTTAGCTGCCATGTGGGTGCTGGGATTCCAATCTGGGTCTTCTGCAAGAACAACCAGTGTTCTTAACCGCTGAGCCATCTCTCCAGCCCCCATGTTTCAACTTATAAAAAGAGGACACACTATTTCATGATATAATCAAGTACAAATCCATTTTACAAGTAATTTTTTTAAGAGTACACATTCAGAGCTGGGCATGGTGGTGCACACCTATAGTCCCAGCACTTGGGAGGAAGACGATCTCTGTGAGTTCAAGGCCAGCCTGGTCTACAATAGTAAGTTCCAGGACAGCTGGGGCTTTCGAGAGACCCAAAGAGACCAAAATATAAAATAAAATTTTTGGTCTTTCAAAAAGACCAAAAAATTAAAAAAAAATAAAGGGGCTGGAGAGACGGCTCAGTGGTTAAGACCACCCAGGTTCGATTCAAATCCCAGCACCCACATGGCAGCTAACAACTGTCTGAAACTCCAGTTCCAGGGAATCCAACAGCCTTTTCTGCTCTCTGAGGGCACTGGAGACACGGGTGCACTTACCTACACACAGAGGTAATACACGCATACACATAAAAATAATAAATAAAACATTTAAAAACAAATAAAAATTAAAAAAGAATACTCATTCATAATATAGGAAGAGCTCCCAAAGCAAGATTGTAGCTTAATTAGCACAGATATTAGTATCTTCCTATTTCCTATAGACTTAGAAAAAACAAATCACTAAAAGCGACTGACAGGTCTATACACTTCAGCAATAATCAACAGGGCCTGAGTATAGTTAAGAGAGAAGGATCTAGAAACACTGGGGAGCCAAGGGTTCTCAGAGCCAACATTTTCTGGTCACGCTCAGTTTTCACCTCAGTAGCTCAGATTTAGTGCAAAAAGGAAGTACCACCACTTTCTCAGTGAAAGTAAAGCAAGACCAGACTTCATACAGAATGTGCCCAACTGCAATCAAACAAAACTTACACAAACAATAAATGGGAAAAAGGTTAAACAAAACATACATACATATGCTGTGTTACCTGGGCTGGTGCCAAACTCCTGAGCTCACAACAGGCACGTGCCACTATGCATAGCCCCACCTACATTTTTCAAAGAATGCTGAATTAAAAGGAAGATATTTATCCTATTATTGGGTTTTTATCAGGCCTGTGGCCCGACCTATAAACCTAGGGCCTGCTTCAGGCTCACAGTCCTCAGCTCTTACACAGAAGAATAAAGAATGGGTTTTGGTGGAGGTATAGATTAGGAAAGCCTTTATGAGAGACACTGAGGATTCTGTTGTTGCTTTTGTTTTGTTCTTCTCAGCAACATTCAAATATATTCTGGCAGACATGAACACACTGTTAAATAACAGCCAGGAAGGGTGGCACACACCTGTAATCCCAGCACTCAGGAGGCTAAGGCAGGAATATCACAAATTCAAGGCCAGCCTGGGCTACATAGTGAGTTCAAGGAGAAGTTTGGGCTACACGACAAGATCTGTCTCAAAGAAACAGAAGTTCAGCCAGGAGTGATGGCACACATCTTTGATCCCAGCACTCAGGACGCAGGCCAATCTCTGTGATTTCAAGGCCAGCCTGGTCTACATAGTGAATTCCAGGCCAGCTGGGGCTACAGGGAGACCCTGTCTCAAAAAAGAAACAAGTTGGGGGCTGGAGAGATAGCTCAGCAGTTAAGAGCACTGGCTGCTCTTGCAGAAGACAGAGGTTTGAGTCCCAGCATCCACATCACTAACAACCATCTTGTAACTCTAGTTTCAGGGGCTCCATCGCCCTCTTTTGACCTCTACAGGTATTGCACAATACAGGTGCACTTACACATATGCAGGGAATACACTCATACATAAAAAAAAAAAAGAAAAAGAAAATTAGAAAAAAAAAGAAACAAGTTGGAATATGGTGGCCCTTTGGAGGTGGAGGCAGGAATATTCAAGGACAGCCTCAACTGTATAGTGAATTCTAGGCCAGCCTGGGCTACACAGTGAGACTCTGTTTCAAAAACAAAGAAAATGAAAAATGTATTCCCAATCTGGTTACTTCTGCAAAGGTGAAACTTTAAGGAATTTCTTTCTTTTTAAAAAAAAAAATATTTATTTTTTATGTGTATGTATTGCCTGTATGTAAGTGCACCGGTGTCATGCAATGCCTGTGGAAGACAGAAGAGGCTGTCAGATCCCCTGGAATTGGAGTTACAGACAGTTGTCAGCTGCCATGGGGTGTTGGGATTCGAACCCGGGTCTTCTGCAAGAACAGCCAGTGTTCTTAACTGCTAAGCCATCTCTCCAGCCCCCAAGGAATTTCTTATGGCAACTAAACTATTCTGATCTGCCGGGTCTTATTCCCTTCCCTTGTTTTAAAAGTCCTTGTTTTAAGTTATTACCTCCAAAATGATCTTAAAAAGCATTTGAAGAAACTCCAGGTGATGCTAAAAAAATAACTCTCACTGGACCCCAAGAGTTGGGTTGTGGGGTTGGAGAGATGGCTTGGTAGTTAAGAGCACTTGCTGCTCTTGCTGCTCTTGGTTCCCAGCACTCACATGGTAGCTAACAACCACTTGCAACTCCAGTTCCAGTGGATCTGATGTTCTCTTCTGGCCTGTGAAAGCATTTCACCCATAGGGTACACTTACATGCATGTAGGCAAAACACTCGTACACGAAACATAAATTAATCTCTGGGAGTTCGAGGCCAGCCTGGTCTCCATAGGGAATCCAGACCAGCTGAGGCTACAGGGAGACCCTGTCTCAAAAAGACCAAAAAAAAAAAAAAAATCCAAGAACAACAAAAAAACCAACAACAAAAGAGTTGGGCATGGTGACACATGCCTTTAATCCCAGCACTCAGGAGGCAGAGGCAGGTGGAGCTCTGTGAGTCCCAGGCCAGCCTGGTCTACATAGTGAGTTCCAGAATAGCTGGGGCTACAAAGAGACCCTGTCTCAAAAAGACCAAAAAAAAAAAAAAAGAGTTGGGCAGGGCACGGTGGCACATGCCTGTAGTTCCTGCACTTGGCAGGCAGACGTCTGTGAGTTCAAGGCCAGCCTGGTCTACACAGTGAGTTCCAGGCCAGCTAGGGCTATTCAAAAAGACGGAAAAATGATGAGCGAGAGAGAGAGAGAAAGAGAGAGAGAGAGAGAGAGAGAGCGAGAGAGAGCGAGAGAGAGCGAGAGAGAGAGAGAGAGAGAGAGAGAGAGAGAGAGTTGGACTGTACTGCCATCCAGAGTTAAGGAAATGGCTTGCTGGTTTCTCTGATCTTGAGATCTCAAGATTCAAATTAACTCATCTGCAGTCTTAAGAGTTTATACAAGCCAGGGGTGGTGGTACATGCCTTTAATCCCAGCACCCAGGAGGCAGAGGCAGGAGGATCTCTGTAAGATCGAGGCCAGCCTGGTCTACACAGAGTTCCAGGCAAGCAGGAACTACCAGGAGACCATGACACATACACACAAGAGTTTGTATGAATATCCCATTTCATCCTCATACCAACTCTACCAAGCAGGGATCTCTGGCCTCTTTTAACAAGATGAGGATGTGCATACTCCTAGACTACCTGGTCAGATGAAAAAATACCAGTTCCAGAACTTAAACCCTTCTCCTGTCAATGTAAAATTCAAATTACAGAAGTGCCACACACTCTCAAAGGGAACACACCTCCCTAACCCATGAAATGTTAAGAGAACTCTAAAATGTATGCGTTCTAAACTAACAAAAACATTCCTGTACCTAAGTGCAAACTTGCAAATATCAAGCAGGGGAAACAAAACAGATTCCCAAACTGACCACTAGCCAGTAAAAAAGTACCGGCTCATTACTTCTTAAAAGTACTCAGAGATACTTGCAAGTATCACTCTAGATAGAGCTAGAGTAGATGGCAGATGGCTTTTAGCTAAGAAACTCTACCAAACTGCAGGGTAAATTGTTAAAGGCCAGCCCTCTGGCAATGCTCCCTCGAACTCCCATCCCAACCTAAGCTGATGGAGCCCAGGTACAGAGAAAAGAGCAGCAAGCAGGGGAGAGGGAATTTTTCCATGCACAAGAATTTAAAAAAAAAAAAAAAAAAAAAAAAAGGGTAGGGGTGGAAGTTGAAAACACTGGGTTCGATCCCGGGCGTCGGATGGCCAGTACAGGCTGCGGATGGGGCTCGCTAGCTGCAAGGTCCCGGGGCCTGAAGAATTCCAAGATGATCATCCAGTGCTCGCACTCGCCTCATCGGAGCTCCGAAGTGGAGCGCGGCGGCCCCCAGCCCCTGGCCGCGGTGGCCGGTCCCCGCCCCGAGCCCGCCCGCCCGCGGAACCGCCTGCGTGTCACTTCCCCACCCCCAGCCTTGCCGCCGCGGCCCCCCGCCCGGTCCCCTTCGCCGCCCGTCCAGGGCCCCCCGCCCCACTGCGCTTCCTTCGCCCCCGCGCCTCGACTCACGGCCCGAGGGGCTCCTCCGGCGGCGGCGGGTGGCGCGGACCCTCCCTCAGAGAACAGGGACCAGCAGCACCCAGGACCGCCAGCTACGCGCCGGATGTACGACACGCTCCTCCCCCGAGACTTCCGGGCGTTCACTGGCCTCGCCCCTTCTGAGCGTCAGCCGCACTACCAGCCACTCAGGCGCGGAGGGGGAGGGGCGGGTCTAAGGAGTGACGAGTAGGGGCGTGGTCGAGATGAGCCGGTCCGCTCCGGTAGGGTCGGCGCGAGACGTGGCAGCCCCTGGCGGGTGGCCTGGGCTTGTGTATGCCAGTCCAGTGCTGGCGGGTCCCCGGGAGTTCTGTCATCTGGACGCCGGAAGCCAGCAGAGGAGGCCGAGGATTAGCAGAGTTGACCTTGGGGTGCTCGGCCGAAGGTGGACGCCACCAAGCCTATATTTTAAGTCACATTTCCCTCCCCTGAGATAGCCTATTGTTTGGTTTATTTTATTTTTTTTATTTTATGTGTATGAGTGTTTTGCCTGCATGTATGTAAGTGCACCCTGTGTGTGCAATGCCTGCGGAGGCCAGAAGAGGACGTCGTGGATCTCCTAGAACTGGAGTCACAGATGGTTGGGAGCTGCCATGTGGGTGCTGGGCTTCGAACCCGGTCCTCTGGAAGAGCAGCAAGTATTCTTAATCATGGAGCCGTCTTTCCACGCCCCTATTGTTTGTTTCTTATAAAAGCGGTAAATTATTTATTGAACACATGTACATCGGGTGCTGGACATGCTTCATCTAATTTAACCCTCGTTAAGGTCCTGTGACGCAAGTACTGCTTGCTAGCCCCATTGTACAAGTGAAAGAACCTAGGCTCAAAATGGGGCCGCCAAGATGGTGCAGCAGGTAAAGGCGCTTGCTGCCCTATGAAGCAAGCCTGATGACCTAAATTTGATCCCTGGAACTCTTGTAAAAAGATGGGGGGTGGGGGGCTGGAGAGATGGTTCAAGAGCACTGGACTGCTCTTGCAGAGGACCCTGGAACTGAAATTACCTGCTGGTGTTCACAACCATGTGGGTGCTGGGAACCAAAGGCTGGTCCTCTGCAAGAGCAGCCAGTGCTCTTAATCGCTGAATCATCTCTCCAGCCCCGAGATTTTTCTCTCTCTTCCTTTCTTTCTTTCCTCCCTCCCTCCCTTCCTTCTTTCCAACTACATTTATTTGGTGCTGGTTACATAAAATAAACCAAAAAAATTTTAATTACATTTATTCATTTATGTGTATGTGTGTGCACACATAGATGTGTGTGTGTGTGTGTGTGTGTGTGTGTGTGTGCTTGCACCAAAGCGTGCATATGTCAAAGGATAACTTGTAGGAGTCAGTTCTCTCAAGGATCTAATTCAGGTTGTCAGGCTTGGCAGCAAGCATCTTTACCCACTGACCCATCCCACCAGCCTGAAAGCATGGATTCTTATAATCTTGAAGTAAGGAAGACCTTTCTGACCAGGATTGAAAATCCAGAAGCCATATAAGGAAAGACTGGCAAATTTACCTACATAAAAATAAATTTAGGTGGCCTGGGGGCACATGTCTTTAATCACACCACTTGGGAGGCAGAAGCATGAAGCTTACTGAGAGTTTGAAGCTAGCATGGTCTACATAACAACTTGCAACAGATGCTTCTTAGATACAAGGACTATCACATCCATAGTCAGCAGTAGGAAGCAATATTGACGTCACTTGGCAGAATTTGCAGCCAGGAACTGAGGCGGGTCTCATTGGAGAAGTTTAATCTTTGCAGTGAGCCCTGCCAAGTACAGCTTATAGACCAGCTCCACACAAGGCTTCTTAGAGTTGCACAGCCTATGGTTCCACCCCATATCTAAGAAATTGGAATTTGTCCTGGGACCCAGCAATGGGCTATAACAAGCCCTCCAGCTACTCTGAAGTTTGAGAAGCAAAGAGTTACAACATTCTTTTGAGGGCTAATTATTCCTAGTAATTCCTAGGAGGGAAAATTTTAATAAGCCAAGGATAGTTTGTTTCCTTGTTGACAACCCTTGAGTTTGGGGCACTCTCTTAAATAGCTGACAGGAAGGCAAACCAGTCAGATTTCCAAGAAAAGTTAACACCTCCCCATCTCACCCATCTGCATTCCACTTCTATGGGTTTATCCTCAGGGGAAAGAGAGATATTTCCAGACTTGTACATAAAGATGTTCATTCCTGACAGCATTATTTTAACTCAGCGGAAACTGGAAAGAAGCCAAAGGGCCATGCTCAGGAGATTGATTAAGTGAAGTTACACAGCTTACACATCTCCTCTCTTGTAATTGTTTGAGTCATTTTACATAGTGTTGGATGATTTTTTAATATTTTTATTTTAAGTACATGCGTGTATTACCTGTATGTAGGTAAGTGCACCCGTGCAATGCCGGAGGAGGACAGAAGAGGCTGTCGGATTTCCTGGGACTGGAGTTACGGACAGTTGTTAGCTGCCATGTGGGTGCTGGGATTCAAACCCAGGTCTTCTGCAAGAACCACCAGTGTTCTTAACTGCTGAGCCGTCTCTCCAGCCCTGACTTTTTTTTTTAAGCGTGTATATGTGGGCGGGGGCAGTTAGAAAGGTGTAGTGCATGTATATGTGTGTAGAGGCCAAAGGAGGATGCCAGGCACCATGCTCTGTAACTGTCATATTTTTTTGAGACGGTCTCTCACTGAATCTGGGGCTAAGCTGGCATCTAGGAAGCTCCAGTGCTCCCCCCCGCCTTTGCCCCCTACAACTCTGGTGTTACAGGTGCCACAACTGGATTTTATGTGGTTTCTGGGGGTTTTCATGCAGGTCCTCATGCTTATACAACAAGCATTCTAACTCTCTGGGCCCTTTCCCCCAGCCTTTCTTTTTTTATTTGAGATAGGGTTTTACATAGCCTAGGCTGGTCTCAAACCACATATATAGTCAAGGATGCCATTGAACAAATCCTCCTGCCTCCATTTCCCAATGCTGGAATTACAGATGTCACCAGCACACCTTGTTTTATGTAGTGCTAGGGACTGATCCCAGAGCTTCCTGCATGTTAAGTCTCACTATGTAGCTGGCTGACCTGGAACATAGAGAGATCCACCTGCTTCTGCCTCCCAAGTGCTGGGCCTAAAAGCCACCTTGTTCTCTTCAGTCACAGAGAGAGTTTTCTTCCTAC